AACTTTAGCAATTTTGAGGCAGTCAGGAGCTACCCGTCTACGTTTAGCAACAACTGGTGGATTTAAGTATTTATAGAATGCACTGTACTGTGTTTCACAGGTTGGTCAGGATTGGGTAATTTAGTAATATCAGGATACTGTAACAGTTTACCAAATACATGATCTATACTAGCTGAATTACAGAAGACATATTAACAGGTTATTTAATTTGGCAGGTAATTTAATTCTCTCATTGGAAAATTCCGAACAGAAGCGGCCGGAAAATTCCGTACAGAAGACTGCCTTCTATATTCATTACAAATGAAAATTTCTGCTAGCTTGTAATGTATTTGATTTCGGTTTGGATGTATATTTGGAAGAAAAGGAATCAAGGTACAAAATGAGAGATTCATTTTTTTTAAAATTAAAATCAAGAAAATACCACTTATTCATGACATTTTGAGGAACTTTGAAATTTCAGGGCTAAACTCATAATGCTCGGAGGGTTAATATTTGTTGTTAAATCAATTAGATGCTTATAACATAATCAGCACATAAATTGATGAAATATAAATAATCCGCACCTATGATCCAGCATTAAAAATATAAATAGAGAAAGTAAATTTGCATCTTAAACTAAAATTGGCAGTATTGTTTTACGACCATAAACAGTCATGGATATTCCACTGGCAGAATGAAAAGTTTGAACTTGTGCCTTTAGTTCAGATTTATTGGCAACAATTAAACATCACTTCTTCAATCTATGAGAAAACACCTAAATATAGGTCAGTCTGTAATGAAAAGCCATTGTGATTTGTGAGGGTGGAAAGAGTCGGTCTTCTCTTTTTCCTACATCAAGTTTCAGTTATAGGAACATGGCAAAACACTTTTTTTGATGTTATCCTTGAATTTTTTTATACCAGTAAAATGTGCAGTTGTGCACCTTGAACATTTGTGGCCACCTAAAAATTTGAGCGTTTAAAAAACTGGTATAAGATAAATTCCTGAAATGACAACATTCAGAAACATATTTTTCAAGAGTTTTGATTTCCTCGTGGAGTAGAGCCCAAGAGGAAGAGCATTTTCCAGAAAGACGTCATAGTTAAGGACCATAGCAGAAATATTTGTATTTATGGATAAAGTTTGATCAGCTGCTTTTGCTGTGTTTTATCTGAAGTAATACGAGAAAGAGAGATAATAATATAATTTAGGTGGGAAACGGCATAATGTGATTCAAGAGATCAAATAAGAGTGAGTTGTCAATTACTGTGGTTCTCTGCTCAATGTTTTATAATGCAGAGGAGTTGGCTGGTCTTCTGATCTCCGAGGCTTTCACTTGCTAGCAGCCGACAAATTTCTTGAGTTTTTGATTCAGAGCATCTTTTGATAATTTTTGGTTTCAGATCCTGGTAGGGGTTGATTTGTCTGAATGATGACATCACGAACAACAGTGGCCATATTAGGTGACAAGTGAGCCACAACATAGTTGAATTTAGTCTTTCGCTTTGATATAAATTAAGAAGTTGCTAATTTGGATATTTATTCTAATATGTGAAACCGAAGAGATGGATCAACTTGATTAAAAAATGGGATCACCACAACATAAGTTTCGAAATCAACCACTGTCCAGGTGGAACATGTACCAACGGGAAGAATCAAAACTGAAAGTTCCATTACGCTAACACACATCCAAGTCTGAAAGTGCATAACCGAGGTCATTACTGAAGAGTTGCTTTAGTGGATCTCACTCCTATATTTTAATGAAGTAGCATGGAACAGCATTAAGCATAAAAATATAATTTGTTTTGCATATAGAAGCGTAATTCATGTTGGGAGCAATAGCAGACCTGTCAGAAAACACACAAACCACTCATGTCATGTATGCCTTTTGCTGACTGGCCGATACTGTGCATCTCTCATTCGCATGAATGAAATATTACAACCACAAAAGCTGTAGAATTCACTACAATGCTAGGAGAAAATTCTGTGCCAACTCATGGATGGCTCATAAGATGGAAAGTGACATAAAATTGCTTATTGCAAACTGCATGATGAGAAGCAAGGGGCAAACAATCATTTGTCTGAGAAATGGGTAAAAGACTTTTTACTCAGGCTTCTAAGTCACATGAAACATACACAAATGTTTAAATGTGAAACAGCATCTGGTTTTATGATATCAAAAATAAGAGTTTGTGTTATTATGTGCGGTATGGATACAACAATTAGAAGAGGCTAGTAATTTTTGGGAAGAATAGAAAACCTTGTTGGAAAAAAGGGAATCTTAAAAGGAGTCGGGAATTTACCATTAACTTACCATAAAAACAAGAACTCATGGATGACAAGCAGTTTTACTGACTTCACCCTTTGAAATCTGACAGTGAAATGACAAATGAAAAACAGCTTTACTATTGGATAACTGTGCTGCACACCCTTCGTTTCGAAAGTGTTTCTTCCTGCAAATACGATTTCTATCATTCAGCCATTAGACGAAGATATTATAAAAGCCTTCAGATGTAATTACAGGAAAGATGATCAAAAAAGGTAATTAAAATTGAATCTTGTGAAAATGTAAGCACTTCGGAGGAAATAAATTAAGTCAACGTCTTTGCTAGAAGCTATGCATATTACAATCAATGCATGAGAAGAGTCTCCCAAAACACAGAAAATACTTCAGAAAATGTGGTTTGATTTAGAAGACACAGAGATATTCCAAACTATTTCTAATATTTCTGATAGCAGGAGGAATTACGATGATTTGTTTTTAGAATATGCTGCAGTTCATAATACGAGGGCAATCCCAAAAAAAAAAGGTCTCCCATATTTTTAGATATACAAAGAACCGTTTATTTTCTATAATTGCTACATCACTTTAAAGATTGAAGAATGCTTTATTTTTCAACACAATCGCCACTTCGGTCGATGCATTTTTATAGACGGCAGTTTTACAATGCCCATGTCATACCAGCTTGCCACCATGTCCTTCAGGAAGCGTTGAACCTCATCTTTCACCTCATCATCGGAGCAGAACCACCGTCCAGACAAATGTTCCTTCAACTTAGGGAACAGGTGGAAATCGCTGGGTGCCAAGTCCGGACTGTAGGGTGGGTGTGTGATGATGTTCCAACAAAAATTTTGCAGGAGATCGACGGTTTGACGGGCAACGTGAGGACGGGCGTTGTCGTGGAGAATGCTTACACCCTTGCTCAACATCCCTCTTCTACGGTTCTGAATTGCCCTTCTGAGTTTCTTCAGTGTTTCACAGTACCTGTCAGCGTTGACTGTTGTCCCAGCAGGCAGAAAGTCGACCAACAATACCCCCTTCCTGTCCCAAAACACTTGAAATTTCGTGGCTTGGGCGAAGAGGGATGCCGCCACTCGCGTGACTGTTGTTTTGTCTCAGGTGTAAAGTGGAATGCCCAGGTTTTGTCACCTGTGACAATTGAGTCCTAGAAGTTGTCCTTTTCGTCTCCATAGCGGCGAAGAAATTCGTGGGAAGAATCAACCGTTGCCGTTTGTGGTCTTCTGTCAGCATGCGCGGCATCCATCTTGCACACACCTTACGATATTGCAACTTTTTACAGATGATAATTTTGATTAAATCCTTAAAATCATGTGGATGGTGCTTCTGGAAACCTCAGGAACCAAAATGCAGAGAGCATCCAGAGTGATCCTCCGATCTTTACGCATGAGTTCCTCAACTTTTGCGATTGTCTCGTCGGCAATTGACAGCCTCCTGCTCCTTTCTTCGTCATGAATTTCAGTACGACCGGCTGTAAACTCTCTACACCACTTACGAACGCTTTTGACATCAATGTACGACTGTCCATACACTTCCGCCACTAGGCGGTGAATTTCAACCGGTTTAACGCCTTTAGCGTTCAAAAATCGAATAACTGCGCGCACTTCGTGGTAATGTTTATCCGGAGCTCCATTTCGAATGGCTGCCAAGCCAAGACGAGCGAAGCACCTGCGTGCTTATGTGGTAGCGGAGAAGGCACCACTCACAACAGTGTTGCCAACAACCGTATTAAAACTTTCTCTACGTCCTCAAGAAATAGGAGGCCATTTTTTGGGGATTGCCCTCGTAATATTCAGACTGCATGAGAAAACACTGACTACAATATTATAGAAAGTGTTAAATGAGCTGCAAAAACTGAGAGTAAAAGTGATATTCTTCCATATCACTGTGACTACTCAACTGAATCAAGATAAGCACTCAAAACTTAAGAAAACATTTTAAATTAAAGATGGAGATCAGAAAAGTTACCAACTGTTTTACGAACTTGAAAATATAACAAAAAGATTGTTTATGAACAAAGAATAAGAAATAAATATGCATAAAACAGCTGTTTACAAAAGTTTAAAATTTAATCAGGTACGTAATTATAAAAAATTTTTTATTAAAAAAATTCCAAGTTTCACAAATTATTTAGTTTTAGAATTAATTATTAGATTAATTTTTAACTATTCTCTCGCTAAATAAGTTCAAAGTTGATATCATAATTTGCAATATTCAAATTGCCATTTATTAAACTCAGCTGTTTAGTAAACTCATATATGCTTGGAATGGAAGTAATTTTGATAAGCAGCTGGTACTGTATTACCTTATTAATTTTGTCAACCCATTTTAGGCTTATACATAAAAAAATATTAAAATAAACCTTAATTAAAAAGAATAATTTATTAGCATGTGATCCAAGGTCAAAACCAAAAGCATCTGTCAAAGAATATTAAATTTCACAATAAAATTATTCACAATAATTCTGTCACTCTCCACTAAAGGTTTAATTTTTATTAGCCTTGACATGCAGCTTTTAGCTTCGGATAAATCTAACCTCAAACTTTTGGAAATATAGATTAATCCAAACTCTTAAAAATCAAACCATTAAATACCTTAGAATGGAAATATCATAGACATTTCATAAAATTTAATATTAATCTGGCATGGTAAAAAGAAACTATTTATTACTTAAAGGATTCTTATGTTAGTTTTTATTAAAGGGGGGAAAAAAACTACCTACCAACAGTTCCAACTCTGCCAGTACGACCAATCCTATGGACATATTCTTCTACGTCACTAGGCAAGTCAAAATTGATAACATGTTTAACGTTTGGAATATCCAATCCACGAGCAGCAACCTAAATGTTATTCATAAAACAATAAATAGCTAAAACAGTAAAATATGCAAATGAAACTGTTAATACCTAAAAACTTTTGCTGAATTCCACATTTTTCATACATATTACTTCTCAGCATTCATAATAAAGCTAAAGCCATAATTTGAAATGATGGTGATATAAAATTAGGCAATGTTTTATGGAATACAGATGATAATTCTGATTTAACATAGTTAAATTACAAGCTTATTAAAGAAGAAAGGGTAAAGGTTATAACAGTAACAAGGAAAGTTTTCAGTTATCTGGGAATCTGAACTATCAGGAATTCTAAGCTAAAGCCAGATAATAAGGGTATTAAATGAAATGGCAGAAAATTAAGACTGTATCTGATAAATACCATAATGCTAACTGTTATTTACTTCTCCAGCAGCTACTATATATCTTCTGCATTACAAGCTTTGAAACAGTAAGAGTTACTAGAATAGTAGCAGAATACAAAATTTTCTACCTATATTTTCCCTTTCTGTTACTATATACATACACAGGTATATGTACTATTTTGTTGAATCAATTCTGTGCTTAATGAAGAGCCTGTGGCCCTACTGCATAATTTTAATTTAATTTTTGCTCAAATTTTGAATATTACTACTATGTGTTTCCAAATGCTTATAAACTCAGAATTCTGAGCTTAGATCCAAACTGGACAGAATTTGTTCCCTTCATTAAGGAAAATTTCCCTATGGTAGCACCAGTGATTTTTTCTACTCTTCGACGTTGAGTACTATAAAACAAAAGAAAAATATGCACAATATTCCAAAGTTTCTATGGCACAGGACACCTAACTTTAATGGAAAAAATATTTTTTTGAAAAACATTTTTCATAAAAAAGCATACACTGTGTTTTAAAGAGAATGCTAATATATATCAGAATATTTTAAAAGAATTATGTGGGGGAAAACACTTATAAAAAATCAAACAAAAAATATTAATCTTTGTGTAATAACAGGATTTTTTTTGGCTAAAAATTCAGAAACTCATTTACAAACAATTTTTGGTACTTACATATTATCGCAACCAGGTTGGCGCTATTTGTAACTTTGAGTAAAAAAGTATGAATAGAAAGAAAATGTACATTTATTATTTACAGATAATTTTTAATAGTTTTTTATATTATTTTGTTTTAAAATATAAAATAGCAATTAAACCCTTCCGGTTTCGAATTTGAATAAGTTGAACCCTACTTACGGCAACCCTAGTGTTATATGTAGTTTTGTAAAAGAGCATGTGGAGATCCAAAATTTTCCTGCATTTTCGTGCAAATTTTGTAATTTATGAGAAAATAGCAGTGTACATGGATAAATCAAGAGTGTGTGCAATACCATTTTTGTGCAATTTTGGGATTTTTTTTTAAGTAAAAATAAGTCGACGTGTACATGGTTATGGCGAATACGGTTTTCAATCAGTGCTAAAAGCAATAGCCAAAAGATTTCCGCCCAAAAAATAATTCTGCAACTTATTAAACCCTTCCGGTTTCGAATTTGAATAAGTTGCAGAATTATTTTTTCGGCGGAAATCTTTTGGCTATTGTTTTTAGCACTGATTGAAAACCGTATTCGCCATAACCATGTACACGTCGACTTATTTTTACTTAAAAAAAATCCCAGAATTGCACAAAAATGGCATTGCGCACACTCGTCTTTATCCATGTACACTGCTATTTTCTCATAAATTACAAAAATTTGCACGAAAATGCAGGAAAATTTTGTGAATCTCCACATGCTCTTTTTACAAAACTACGTATAACACGTAGGGTTGCCGTAAGTAGGGTCGCCAAATTTGGTAATTTATGCGAATTTTGGCCTGGTTGCGTTAATACGTAAGTACCCAATTTTTATTAAATTGTTTAAATTTCAGAATCAACATATTCAAAAACTGCTAAAATTAATGCTAAAGATACTTTAATACCAGACAGCTAGATACAAAGATGTTTAAATTTTTTAATACATTGTTATTCTAATTTAATGATATAATAATGTTACTACATTTGTTAACAAAATGATAATGAAAATAAATCATCACAAAAAATTAATTTTATAACCTTCTGGTGAAATAAGGACAAATTAAAATCGTAACCTGAATGTATGGGCTATGAATATTTATCATTCACAAATTGAAAACCCTCGCCCAATCAGTTACATTACTCTGTCTATGACACTCAATGTAAGCAGATTTAGATACGCATACAAGGTATAAGAGAGCTCAAAATAACAACCTTGGGTATGTGCACTAGAATTTAACTACAGTTTCAGGGATTATCTTTAAAACTACAAAATATGAACAGATGTAACAACCACTTTTCACCTGCAATATTAATGAAAAGATTTTCAAACCTTTTGATATACAGTCAAAAGTCGTTAATTCGGACACCCATAATCCGGACCTCAAAGCTAAAAACTTTCTGCGCATAGGCGTTTACGTGTGCGCATAAGACCTTTACGACTGCACATTTGCGTGTGCACAAGCGCAGAATACGTTTTTGCATGCGCGTTTTATGTATAACAAACAGTATAAGCTAAAATGATCTAAGTATCTATTTAAGTTAATGTTGATGATTGTGTTGTTCTTTAATCTTCGAATTGGATATGGCTTATTATTTTTTGCAGACTGTAAGAGCAATTTTATAAAAGTAAACTTGAACTTTCGATTATGTCAAATAGAATTTCCGATGCTGGAGCTCCCAAAGGATTTACAAAGCGAAAGTATGTTTCGTTGTCCATCAAACAAAAAGTGGAATTGGTGCAAAAAATGGATAAAGACATGAAGAAGGTGACAGAGAGGTTAGTGAAAATGAAAAAATTTCGATTGACAAGTTAGTCGGTATTCTCGGCACAGCAATTACGGGACCTGAACAGCAGAACTTTGTAACTGAACAAGAAATTATGTCTGTTTATAGAATTAAAGAAAAAGTATTATCACATAAAACGAAGCAACTTAAACAACTTACATTGAAAGAAATGTTTAATAAAGTAAACAAATAAATATTAAGCTTTTTTTTGTAAAATTTTGATACCCTTTAGATCATAATTGTTCTTTATTTCATAAATTACAGTTTCATATTTTTAATTTCAGAATTTCTGCATGCCATCTTACGAGATTTAAACTGATGATCTATAATCCGGAAAAATCGATAATCCCGAATTGCCGAAGTCCCGACGAGTCTGGATTAATGACTTTTGACTGTATAAATACTTTTTCCAGCAGGTATTCCACTAATTTTAAATAACCACAGATTTAACCTAAAACTATTTATAAGGAATGAAATAATTCATATGCTCTAGTCATGCAATGACAAGCACAACAACAAAATAGATCATTTTCAAATATTCTTTCATTCCTAAATACCTCCCACACACTTACTGTGTGATATTCCCCCATGAACTAGCCTTACTCACCCCTTCATTTGCCTTTTAAGTTAAGGAGAATACAAGGAACCATTCTCATATGCTTTCATAATGCAACAATTAATACATGTTCAAAAGTATATATTTTTCAAGGTTTTTTTTTTTTTGTTTGTTTGTTTCTGAACCCTATGATCTTCATAAAATAAACATAAACCAATCTCTTCAGATAAAACCAGTTATACAAAGCCATTTTTGGCACTATATGCTGATTTGTAACATTTTCCAATATATATACTTTTTATACTATGCTGAACCTCTACTTTTCAGTCATTAAGTCTGTCAAACAGAGCAGTTGTTGCCCATGTATTTCATGGAAGAATGGTTGCCAGAGCCTCAAGGAGGTTGGACTTCTACCCCAATTTTCACCTTTCCCCTACCACCAAGCCACAAGAGAGGACTTTCGGCTCAGAATATATTTAAAGTGCTCTCATGCCACAGACACTATACATTTACAAACATCCATTCCTTTTCTTGGATTCGAATCTGGGCCCTTCAGTACCGCAGTAAGCTCCCCTAAGCACTATTCCATCTGGGCAGCAACAGAGCAGTTAAATCAAGAAATAAGCAAAAATAAACATTCTCTTCTAAATTAAATAATAAACATTCTCTTCTAAATTAATGTTTCCAGTATCATTTAGATTACAGATCAGTGTTGCCAGTTATATCAGCTAGGTGTTAAAATAGGTATATTACAATAGTCTACCAGACACAATGGGTGCTTTTCCTCCTCCTAATTACTAAGAACTTTCTTTTTCCTTTTTAAATCACATATTAATGTGACATAAAATGGTAGTATGAATTTTAGATATTTTACAAACTTCCGAAAGTTTTTCTTTTTTTTTTAAATTCTTTTTCTTTATAAAAAAAAAAAAAAAAAAAGATATATTTTAGCAATGCACGTATTATAGACCTGTTTTGCCAGCATTATAAATGCTTTCACAGTGGTGCTCTGTCAAATGAATGGTCTAAACTGCCTACAATCATGTTCCCACAGCAGGTAATGAGCATAATTTTCAAAATGCTTTCACGGTGGTGCTCTGTCAAATGAATGGTCTAAACTGCCTACAATCATGTTCCCACAGCAGGTAATGAGCATAATTTTCACCACTACTATTAACACATTCATAAACAATATTTTCTTCCATGAGCTAAGTCATATATTACTAAAAACATTTCCTCCATTTTCATGCTTAAATTCAACATTCTACTGCATCAAGGGACTTTCAACTGTTACATCATATTCATGAACTTTTGTAAACCAAAAATACAGTGCTTTCTCAATACTGTAACTCTCTCCACTGCGCATCCACTTCATGGTTTCATTTTGATATTACTTTGATCTGAAAAACAGTATCGCCATAACTTTAAAAATCTAGCACATGAGGGTTTTAGAGAGTAGGTCAAAGCAGTATAATAAATCAACTTTACTTGTTAAATCCTTATATCCTTTTACAGGTCTCCATAACCTTAAAATCATAAAAAGAGGCTAAAACTGACTATGAATTGTTAAAATAATAAATAATTAAATAGAATAAAAATGAGCACTTTCTGAAACAGAACATTCATCAAAATTTCATGAAAAATTCAAGTTCAAAAGACAATCCATCAAAATCTAAAGTTCAAAAGAGGCTTTTTGGGCACATAAAAGTATGGTTATCTGGAATTCCAGCTTTGCTAACCCTCTGAGCGAGACATGACCGGCTTTATCCGGTCATGAGAATTTTTGTCACTTGGCATATATTAGCTTGTAATTTATTTTGCTCTTTTAGTTTTTTTTTAATAATATAAATACCATCTTAATGAATGTAGGTTTATGAAAACAAAGACTGAAATAATTAAATACACAAATTTAGCTGATAGATGCTGTTTAAAAACAGATCTTCATGACAGATCCAAAAACCTGTGCCACTCAGAGGGTTAAACTGGTCAGTCCAGCAGATCTTCATAAAACTTCGAAAACGTGGTTAACCTAATCACACTGGAAAAGAACATGCGTAGTGTTAGTTTCCCATAGATTTTTTTCCATGAATACAAAAAAAATTCTAAAGAAATTTTTTCTATTCCTGAAGATGAGAGATCTGTGTCTGATAGCACTCAAAACTGAAACAGATATCTAAGCTGTTTTTTTGCCTAATTATAAATGAATGACCCAAAAAAAAAAAAAAAAAACTACTTGGCAATTTAATCCTTGACGACATTTATTTGTCATTTGCTATTTTCATAATCTATTTTGGTCATACTTGTCAATGTTACTTGTGTTTAAAATATTCATTCTATAATATTTTGATCTCATTAACCATTTCTTGTTCATAAAAGGTGACGTATTTTTCATGTTTTCACATACAAATACAGAGGACTTTGGCAATTCAATATCCAAATAATAATATTAAACATGATCACATTAAGCAACAGCTATATCCACAAATAAGGTGGAAAACTGCTCTAAATGGATACAATAAAATTACTCTCCTTTCTAAATTATTATTATGAATATATATTACTAACAGGTATTACTGAGACTGCTCACTCAAAAATAATAATTATAATATAAAAATAATAAATAAAATTAAAATTAAAAAATACTCATCACAATCTTTTTTTTTTTTTTTTTCCTTTTGAAAATTTAAAGAACGCTCCGTTCATTCAGATGCATAAAGATATTTGGTACAATTACATAAGTGAAAGGTCAGAAAACTTTTACCACATATCTTCATGAAACTACAAAGCACAATATACAGAGCTATATGATTCAGCCTAGTCAAAAATCTAGTCATCAAATAATATATTATATATAAACATAAAGTTATATTTCTGAAGACCTAATCATAAAACTCAACTGATTTTTTTTAAAACCTAAATTTATGGAAAGATTTAACATATCTACCTTGGGTTGTGCTGCTTTTTGATAAGATACAGAAAAAGCTTTCATAAATTTTATGATAAGTTTATTAATAAAAGCATACATGGTCAAAAACAAATAATTAGAAAGAAAAAAATACTGCAAATAAGTGTCCTACAAAAAACAAAAAAAATTTAACATACTGGTGAAAGTTGGACTAAAATTGAAAGATTATGTACATACTGGCTAAATCTGAAAGCATGTTTTCAGATTGGTTATTCAGTTTCCTTGCCTTAACTAATAAAATAAGAAAACAGACTGAATTTTAAACATACAGTTCACAATTCAGATTCCGCTATCCACAGTATATGAACTACACTGTACTGACATAGTTATTATGCAGTTTGGAAAAAGAAATGTTTAATTCTATACCAGGCACATAATGAGTAGTTAGTTTCTTCATTCATTTATCACAACATATCACTTTAATGTATTTTAATACATACCATTTAGATGTATTATAAAGATTTAAACTACTAAGACGTGTTCATTACTGTTAAATTACTTTTCTATCTTCTGTTTAATACAAACACAAGAACTCATTATGCACAAAGAACAAGGAAGATAAATTAAATGTCTTATGTTTTGAAGATTGGCAACACTTGATGAACTGACTGGGTGGTATGACTGCAGCAGCATTACGTAACATAATGGTTAAAAAATTTTGGGAACTCCAACTAATGATTTTTAATATCAAAACATTTTTAACAATCTTTTATCACTTTAATTTCCCATTCACACCAAACAGACTTGTATAGTATTTAAGAGAGCAATTGTTTTGCTGACTCATTGTAATTAAGCATCATATGAGAATACATGTACAGGTAACCCTGATAGGTTCCCAGAAAGTACCGTGTTGTATGAGACCAACAGCCAGTATAAAAAGTGGGGTTACATTCTGAAAACTTATCAAAAAAAATTATTTTTTTAAATTCTACATAAACAATTTAGTTTTTATTAAACTAATATATGTATGTACAACAAAAAACAAAAAATATTACATATTTTAATTTAATGCAACTTTAGTTTAATAAATTTCTTCGTTGTTACTCCTCCCTATAATCAACTGAGAACGTTTTTTCGGTAGAATGAGATTGCTTTCACTTTCAGAATTTCTTTCTTCATTTAAAGTTCTGGCATTTTCTTCCCCTCTTTTAAAAATCTGTGATTTTACTTTGCTTACTATTTCTTATCGGGTCAAAGTAAATTTGTCAATATGGAGCTAAACAGTTTTGCAGCATCCCTTTGAATTTTCAGCTTATTTCAGTGGAAGGGTCTGCAGTCAAGAAAAATTTTTTGAGATTTTCAATTAAGCTCAGGACTTTTAATTTTTTTTTTTTTTTTTTGGTTAAATGTTAAATTATTAACTGCACAATCTTCATTAGTGCTGGTGACCTCAGATTCGATTTGATTTACGGCTTCGGATGCCATTTCCTTCAAATCTGCTTTGTCAATTTCTTCTTTCGGTAATAAATCTTGAATGTCCTAAATAGCAATGTTAAAAAAAAAACCTTTGTCTCCGATTTATTTAACAAGTTCTAATAAGCCACCAATTTCATTTTCTAAAGATTAACACACGTTTTCTATTTCAAATGAAGAGAGCCATATCTTCTTCTAACATGCATTTAACGTTGATGCTTTTAGCTGTTTCGGATACAAACGTACAATGTCAATACAGTACTGTCCTTGTATCTCTTCCAAGCTTCAATTAGATTAATTGATTCTGAATCGATTACATCTAAAATTGACAGCAATGCTCTGCTTATGAAATATGTTTTAAAGGCATAAATAATATCTTGATCCAATGGTTAGGAAGAGTATTTTGACGCTGGAATGATTCAAATCTTGTGGATGACATGGAGCATTACATAATGGCAATAGCGCTTTGAAGCTCAAATTTTTCTGTTTTAAATAACGTTTAGCGTCTGGCACAAAACAATTTAAAAGGGACACTTTAGCTTCATAATCAACATCCTAGTAGCTTAACATTTAGCCGATGCAGATTCTTCTTAAATTCTTATGTTATAAACTGCAAGAAGCTTTTTGAAATTTTCGAACCAACTCTTACTTTTCACAAAATCTGGGTTGACAGAGGATTCTCCGTGTTCTTTAAGGTGCTTGAAAATTTTGAGTGCTTTTTGTTTAATGATATTAACACCCAACGGAATTCTTTTTCGGCAGCTGAATCCCTTTTCTACCTTCTCAATTATTGGCACGCGGAGGCGAACTACATATTTTGCGGATGTTGAAGATCCTGCAGCAAATGTACTATTTATTTCTTTCTCATTTTTTCTGAATAGTCCGGACTGTTACTTCATTCAAATTAAAAGTTTTCCCAATGTGAGATGCCTTTTCTCCCTTTAAAAGATGGTCCAAAATTTGCATCTTTACTTCTAAAGAAATGAATTTCCTCTAAAACATTGTTGCTTTATCTTCATTGGACGTGTTTTGAGACTAAAACTTAATGTCTTAAAGACGAGAAAGTTATTCTTTGGCACACCATGGCTAGACGCAGACTGCCAACTCGCAGCATGAGACACTTTTGTTTTTAGGCCTAATTTTGGAAGCCGAACATGAAGGTTGTGTGTTTTAGAGCACTTATTGTGAATACATGTTGTTCACCTTCTGCAATAGTGAGGTTTCTTCTTTGTTATCTGTTGATTGTGCTTTCTTGAGACTGGGTATTGTTTCCGTTATGTTATTGGGCTCTGAATGTCATTGAAGGAAACGATTTTCCTCCATTACCAGTTAAGGATTCAACCGTTGCTCTCCACCACGTGGCTCATCTCCCTGAGTACATGTGTTCTTACGGGTACCGGATCTTGAACGACAACTGGCAGAACTTACGAAACAAGGATTCTTATGTATTAAATTACTATATGGGTGCTTTGCTCAATATGGAAAATCTTCATGCAGAGTTTGTTATATTTCTTCAGATTGATTGGGCAATTTTCTTATCGTGTTAGAGAGAAACCGTAAGTAAACCGTGCTGCAGGAGGGTTCTCACAATTTATGAATCATGTTATAGCAAAACTGTGTTAAAGGATACCGTGTTGTAGGAGGGCTAATGAAGCTCAAGACTTTACTTTCACTTCATAAAAATTTTCCAACCCAAAGCATAAGACAGAGGGAGGGGAGAAAGGAGAAAAAAAACTTACAGCTGTTGCAACTAGCACTGAGGTATGACCAGTACGAAAATTCCACAGAGCTTCTTCTCTTTCTCTCTGAGATCGGTCTCCATGGATGCTAGTAACTGGATAGCCTTCACTTAATAGAAAATGTTCTAGAGCATCAGCTCCTTTTTTTGTTTCCACGAAGGTCAGAGTAAGAGAATCTCGAGCTGAAGATAAATGAAAATAATAATTTACAGAACAAAATATCATACTGGGGAAATTGTAATAAATTAAACATACAAGCTATCTCACATTTCGAACTCAAAAAAGCATTTACATTCAAACCTACCAAGCTAACAATAAAAAACACAGAAATGCATTTTTTATAAAATGAACTAAATTCAAATGCTATCTAGTTAATATCAGGAAGTGCACAAACTAAAATTTGAATGAAAATACACTTGAAAAATAGTTTTATTATTTATATCTTTTTATAAGTAACGAAAATATTTAAATTGATTTTCATTTAATTAGTAACAGACACAAATTTTGATTTTTAAAACACTGGCACCTCCCGCCACATAAAATTGAAAAATCGCACAGACAGACAATACACATTGTAAACGTATTTGAGATTCTTGGTAAAATAATGCAAGGAAAATCATCTGTACACTATTTTAAAACATATGAGTATTTTACCTTTTCAAAGAAAAACTAAGGCAAAATACTGAAAGCCATTAAACAAGTTTGAAGGCATACGCAAACTTTCACCAGTTAAGAGATGAAAGAAATACAAAGAACAGCCCTGATCTTGGTTTGTGCTCATTGGCCGATGACCTGCAGTTAGTATTTATGTGGTTTGAAGAAGTAAAACAATGTTTTTAAACACAACTACACCTTCATTAATAGGAGTAGCTCACAGATGGTTAAAAAAAAAAGCAGCTCTGGATTTTTTAATTATTATTTATTATAATTTTTTGGACCAGAATCTAGACAAAAACTAAGTTGTTTCAAATACCAGAAATCAGAATTTTGGATTAAAAAATGAAATAACACACCAGGCTACATCAAAATTATCAAATAAAAGAGAAAAGTCAAGAAAAACATGTTGTAAATTGCATTAGTGGCAGAATGGTCGAAAATCTCCAAGCAAATAAGGAAAACTGACATGTTTGCACATTCCCTGTTATCATATACAAACATAATTACAATGCAGAAATGATATATTCTATGTTACCACATACAAAAAGCTTTCTGAAAGACCTATATTACAGAACTATACATACAGTATACATAACGTTTTCAGTGTGTGTGTGTGATTATTGCAAAGCCTTGAGGGCTATCTGCCTAAGAGGAGGGATGCCTTCGTGGAGGACTTTCTAAGGGAAACTGGCTCGTATGCACGTTACACATGGGGAAAACCACGAAAACGCCAATGCAGCCAGCCCGTTCGCGGGATTCGAACCCCGGATCGAACTACCAGTGTTCAGCGATTTTACCGCTCGGCCGCTGGTGGGCCATAACGTTTTCACAACAACATGACTACTTTATTTTATAGAAACAAATCAACTTTTATTAAGAAAAAATTATGTTAAACCGTAATGCCATCATAATTCATTTCTACTTCTTATGACTATAGTTCATGTAATTCACTAGCAAAACAGCTGTTAGAATGAGCCACGAGTTGCAGGGACCAAATGATGGACAATGTATATTTTTATATGCAGTCGCATCATCTTTGGGGTAATGCTCTCCTTCCAACTTTGAGACCATGTAACTTTGCCATATTCTACAGTCTAAACTGCATATGGAGGGAAATAAGAGGTAATTTATTGCAGACACCAATAAAAATCTAAGACTACGCAGTGGCTGACACTAAGTATTTCTTCCTTTTAAAAATTAAGCTGATATCTTTTTCTATGGTTTTGGAAATAAACATTCAATTCAAATGTTTCATTTTTAAGAAAATGAAAGGCAATTTTCAGTCATGGATGATATGAAAACTCAGACAGAACTTAGCGTACAATGATCAGCATACTGAGTTTTTAATGATACAAAATATTTAAAAAAAAAATTTAAACTATGAGACCTTTTTTTTTTCTTTTCTACAGCTGAAGGAAATGAAAATTTTAGGTCCAATTTTTTAAGACTAACTTTGCCATACTTTCCATAAGATATACAAGGAAACAAAGGGAAAATATGACAACCTTTTTTAATACATGCAATGGCACTAACATAATACGAATTTACTTCTCACAGACATTTAATTTCAGCTGCTAGGCTCAGTGGTGAGTTAATCTGCATTTGGCATTACTCTTCTTTACACAAGCAGCAGCCTGTACACCTGAAGTAGTAATACATGTAATTCCACAAAGTATTTGCTTGTCAGAATGAACCCTGATATAATTTTTGTGTTGGGTCTCTTGAAAACTAGATTCTCAGGAATTTTCGCATCCAAATACTGAAATGAATCACAGAACATATTCTAAGACCTTTAAATAAAATCTTAGGCAAAACTGCATTAAATACAACAAATTGTGTTGCATGAAAGTTCTCTTGATATCAGAGTCATTTCAGATTCTGCATAATTCCATCTGCTGAAAGATTTCATATAGATTTGAGCTCATCACTGACTGAGTGCATAAGGCATTCGAAAACTGAAAATTCAGAGCAACTTCAAATCTCAGCAAACATCGTGTTTTAGAGGATTTTTCTGTGTATAATATAAACAGAAGCCAATTTCTCAAAGAAAGCCCTCAAGAAGGCATCTCTCTTAAGCAAACAACCTTCTTGACTTGCCTTACGCCCCTCCTAAAAAAACTAAATTTTACCTTGTTTCTCTTTTGGGTTTCTGAATTTAAGTTTACAAGCAACTGTACAGTTCACAATCAGGCAGTCATACTGATACAGTAGAGGAAAGGAAAAATTTAATTAAAATAAATTGCTCTTTGACAATTTTAACTTCTGCATGAATACAGAAGAAGTCCAGAAATCTGTAAAGCTTGGGACCAGAGGTTGTGCAGATTTCAGGACAGAAAAGATAAATCATAATATTCAGACTAAAAGTGCAAAATAAATAAGGTTTATTTATATGCATTTATTAATTATATATACATTATACAATAATTATATATGCATTAAATTATTATTACATATATAAATTGATATATTATTCATTTACATTAGGCTCCTCTATTTTTCAATCAGCATGGCTCCTCTTTTTTCAATCAGCACGAATCTGCTTCCCCTTTTCTGTCAGGAGCTGTCCTGAAATTGGTACCCCACCACTCCGCTGCTGCCGGAATCACTCATACAAGACAGCATCAAGTTTTGCCAATTTCGCCTCATGCAAACATTTCTGGTTTTGGATTCCGGTGTTAGAATCACTGTTGCAATAAAATTTCAACATCATTTCTTTTTTTTTTTTCCATATATCATACACGGCCCATGTCGCAATTCCATACGATTCTGCTATAAATCGAGGACTAGCACCTGCCTCCCTCTTTTGCAGAATTTCGACTTTTTCCATTACCATCAATGTAACATGTTTACGTTTTTCAACATTGCAAGCAGTAAAACAAGTGCGTGTCTTATCTGCCAATGTATTGAAAAGCGCTGAAATTTAAAATATTCATAATTTATCCACAAAATATCAGGATCAAAAAAAATGGCAGCACTAAGCAATCTCGTGAAATAAAAAATCTCAGAAAATACAAGAACGTGAATCCCGAACTTGAAAGAAGAGTTGAGTAAATAGTCTGCTTTTTTACCTCGATGCAGATTGGAGAGGAAAAAACTTGTATTATGATGTCAATAATTTGATATTTCCGTTATGACTCATTATTATTCAGTAATTATGACGTCATTATTCGGTAAGTATTTTTTCTTCGATATTCGATATTTCTTCGATATTTCGTACATCATGTTGCAGTTTCCGGAACCTATAAACTGAATGTTTATATTTTGAGAGACAATGCAGATTTCAGGAGTTGGTGGATTTTCAGTATTTGAATTCAGATGCCAAGCTTGAAATATTGAAAACTCGGAAATTCTCGAAAACCAAACCAGGAGTTTCTGGTGTGGCACAATTTTACAAGTACTCAAAATCAACTATTAATAATTTGATTTTGATGTAAAATCTATAAATATTTAACTAAAAAAATTTATGCTCTTTGGCACATTCATTTGGTAATTTTCTTACACTACTTACTTTCTTAAACATCTTTATACCGAGTTTGCTATATAATACACAATTCAAATATTTATAATTTGGTTTTGATGTAAAATATATTAATATTTAATTATATGATCCAAATTTCATTTGTAATTTTCTTAAACTACTTTCTTACAATTCTTTATACTGAGAAAATCCTGACCAAAAAAATTAAATATAAATATTAAACATTAGTTGACTCTTTATATAAAATGCTACAGATGTCTACACTAGATTCCATGAAAAACAATTACATTTTTTTCTTAATTTTAAATATTCACTATAAACAAATGGCAAAGTTAGTAAAATATCTTTTGCTGCATTGCAAAACTGTCATACTGGTTGACTAATTTCTTGTGACAAGAAAAAAGAGCTGGCCACACCGCTCAGTGGTTTCTCTCTATTTCAGAAGCTCTTGATTTGGAACAAACTATTCTTATTACTACTTTAAATTACTATTAATTAAATTTGGTAATACTAATTAATATTTTTCAATATATGTTCAACTTTTCTAATCAATTTTAAAGGAAAAAACTGTAGCCAGTCAGATAAGGAATTTTGTTTTCATTTTCATTTTTAAATTTCATATTTAAAAGCAGGCACAGAATGCAGGAAAACTTAGAACTAATTCAATCAAATCAAAACAAAAGCAAAAAAGATTGAAAAAATATATTACAGTCAAGTCGTTAATTCGGACACCCATAATCTGGACCTCAAAGCTACAAACTTTCTGCGCATGCGTCGCATTGGTAAAGGCGTAAGACCTTTATCGCTGCGAATTTGCGTGTGCGCAAAATACTTTTACGAATGCGTGTTTAATGTATAACGGACGGGATAAGCTAAGCTAAAATTATCTAATTATCTATTTCAGTTAAATGTTGCAGATTGCATTGTTTCCTTAATCTTCGAATGGATCCGGATTATTATTTTTTGCAGACTGTTAGAGCAATTTTATAAAAGTAAGCTTGAACTTTCGATTATGTCAAATAGAATTTCTGATATATATTTACTAATATGTAAAGGATATACAAAGCGAAAGTATCTTTCGGAATCCATTAAACAAAAAGTGGAATTGCTGCAAAAAATGGATAAAGGCATATCCTTTGTTTATCTAAACTTTAACGTTTGTTTATCTTTAACGCCGTGGCGGCGTGCAATGAATTGGAAGTTGATCTGTCAGCACTATCCTTATGTTAAGGGCAGATGTTTTTATTTTATTTGGCTTATAATTGCTTACTCAATGTAGCATTTCATCTCGATGTACTCTGTCTTTGATATGATTTAAATCAAATGCCTCGTCATTATAATTCGCTTCCGATAGCGAAGAAAGTGACAGAGGTTACTGAAAACGAAAAAATTTTGATTGACAAATTAGTCAGTATTCTCAACACAGCAATTATAGGACTTGAACAGCGGAACTTTGTAACTGAACAAGAAATTATGTCTGTTTATAGAATTAAAGAGAATGTATTATCACATAAAAAACGAAGCAACTTAAACAACTTACATTGAAAGAAATGTTTAATAAAGTAAACAAATAAATGTTAAGCTTTTTTTTTGTAAATTTTGATACCCTTTAGATCATAATTGTTCTTTATTTCGTAAATTACAGTTTCATATTTTTAATTTTATTAATTTCTACATGCCATTTTACCAGATTTAAACTGATGATCTATAATCCGGAAAAATTGATAATCCGGATTCGCCGAAGTCCCGACGAGTCCGGATTAACGACTTTTGAATGTACCTTCTGAAATTGCATTTCAAAAATTTAAAGAAGTAAATATACTCCTATTGAAAGAAGTGCATTAAAATAAAATACTTACAAGCATTACCATTCCTCAGACCAGCAGCATTTAGTAAGTCTAGCAAAAAGGAACGTTTATCGTGTTCTTCAACCCAAACAACTTTCTGTGTGATATTTTCAGATGTACTTCCAACACGGCCAACAGCCAAAAATATATAATTATCCAAAAACTTCCTTGCAAGTTCCTATGACACAAATGATGCATTAAACTAAGTTCATTTACATTCATAAGTTCATTTTCATTGACAAACTGCTAAAAATAGCTTCATGTAAAAAGATTATGAATTCCCTACGATCCTGTTACAATCATTCAGAAAAACTAATTGTTCAAAACTTTTCAAGCAAATCTGAGAACAAATATGCTCATCACTCAATTTAGTAATATGAAAAATCTTTTTCTTAAATTGACATTTTTTTGGTTACCAAAAAATGAATATTTCACTCTTCTTGTGTATGGCCCCTGAAAATGACATTCAACTTTATAATAGCAGTCAATTTTTCTTGTATGGGAATCAAACTTTTCACATTTTATATTTTATAAGTATAAAATTTCCATAAACATAACTGCAATACTCCTAAGCATAATTACAAGGATCAGTAAAAGAAATTTATTGCATAGTTTCGTAAAATGTCTTTTTTTTTTTAATCTGAAAATGCCAGAAACTAAATATTTATTTGTATGATTTCCATCAAAATATTTTTGTAATTGAAAGTTTATGTATACAACCAACAGCTGCTAAAACAAAGGTTTAGTAAGAAATTTTGAGGACATGATATGTCTGTATATACATATAAACACATATATTGTTTCACAAGAATAAGGTAAAGTTAAATTAAATTTAAGTAATTCTCTTGTGACATTGCTGCAATATTTGAACTTAACAAATATATTCGTGTAAAGCTAATATAAATTAAAATTATAATTAAATTTTAATTGCAAAAATAAAAATAATTATTTCTGCGATCTAAGAGCATATGTAAATCTAGTGCATGTATCTAAAACCATGAAAAAATATACATTCCTGAAAATTAGTCTCAAAAAATTTTTAAGGAATTTTTAAGACCAAATTAAAATTGCATAAGTGAATAATTGCTGAGCAGGCAGGAAACAGACTTATCAAGGAGAAGTTGCCTCCAAACCTAACTCTTCAATTACTCAATTCGTGTTTTCTCACCCATATAGGCAAGGATATAAGTAAAATTCAAGACCAAAAGTAAAACCAAATGTAGTGAATTATTAAAAAAGAAATTTAAACTAGTAGGAATTTTGAGAAATTTAGCAAGTAAAATGACTAGGAATTTAAAATATTAATTAAAGTCAAGAGTAGAAAACCAAAGTAATTTAGAAACTCTTGCCTATTGAAAACTTCCCCTATACGAATTATACATGCAAACCTAAAATAAACTACATGCAATAATCAAAATATGAAAATAATAATTATAAAAAAGCTAGTAAATAGCAAGTTTTCATTTAACTTACATAGAACTACACATTTGAATTCCTAAGTGTGGATTAGCATTTGCTAAACTAGTTGAAATTGAGTAGTTTGTTATTACGCTTAACTGTATAAATAGAGGGTGCTAATACAATGTAAAGTAAACTGCTAAGGATGTAGAATTTTGAAAAAATTTCTTAGTAAAATTAAAAGTTCGAATAAACATTTTAATTGAATTAATAAAATTTTAATTTGAAGTCGAAAATTTTTTTAAATTTATTTTTAAATCACAAATTGAAATAGAGAATTATTGTAAGAAATTTTTTGCACTAGACTGTTATTTAAAACTGAAGTTAAAGTTTAATCAAAACTTTTACTAAATACTGGCCAAAGGTAGGAAAATTAGAAAAATTAGATACAAATCTTTACTCAAATCGAATTGAGACTTTTGAAAAGAGTTAGCCCTTCATTAGTAAAAGGAAAGAATCCAGTATTGATAAATATTCATTTTTACAAATAATTAATTAATAAGTAATCCCTTAACTCTTCAAAATCCTCTATAACCCTCTAGTTAAGTTTTAAGGTAATATTATCATGCCATAAAGAGTTAAAAAAATTTAAAAGAAAAGTTAATGCCTGCCTTTTTAATATAGAATTTACTAAATTGTGTTGGGACATGGTTATTAACTTGTACATTAATTAATTTTATTATTTCTTCCTTTACATCTTCTATTTCAGTATATATATTTTCATTATAATTTATAACTCTTATTTTTAATTATAATTATTTGGATTATTAAAGTGTTACCTATTACTTTTTGGCGATATTAGAGTTCCAATAATTTAGTTTAATAGTTTTAAACTGGAATGTCCTCCTTCTATAATATAATTTAATTTTGGTGTGCTTAATTATGAGCAGGTCTAGCTATTCAATATTATCTTGATTTGTATTAGTTCTATTAACTAACTTTATACAATGTTAAACTATCTTGGTAAATTTTGAATTGTTTAACCCTTTGCGGCATGGTGGGTCAATATATGTCCCACCTAATTAATATTTATTTTCTCAGTTAGCAATTTCCGTTAGATATTTTCTAATCTTTTAAAAATAATCTACTTTAGTTATTATTTTTCTCAGTAGATGTTACTACTATACCAGGGCTTAAGTTTATAAGCAAAAAATATTCAAATAGGATCACAAGAGTGATATCCCTGTATCTCGCATTTTTCAATATTTTAAAAATTTTGGTATACAATTTATGATATGTATGATATTTTTTAATATTCAAAAGTACTTTATTTCAAAAATCTTAATTGTATTCAATATTTTATAACATTAATTTTACAGTTGAAATAAGTGGGTTAAATTTGTCCCACCACACACTTGAATTTCCGCTCAATAGATGGCAGCACTCACGATTATTTTTTCTTTTCTTTTTGCATCTACTTTTTTCGTGATTGCGTGCGCTTTTACATCCGTTGTATGCTCTGATGTGCTAAAATGTGTAGGAAAAAATTAACAACTCAGGAAGCTTTGGATCTTTTTGCTGAATTGTCATCCGATTGCCACTCAAATGCTTCAGATGTCAGTTCTGATTCAGATGAAATTGAAATCCAGGAGAGAATAACTGAGGTGAAGTTATTGCTGAAGAAGAAAGGGAAGTAGTCATAATTTGTTTCGCTTTTTAAAGACACAGACCCATCTATGCATGTGGCACTGTAAATATGGATCGGAAGTATCTACCCAAAAATTTAAAAGACAAATTTATGTCAAGAGAATATAGACTTTTCAGTTAGCGATGATTCAATTTATTGCATAAAATGGAAGGATAAAAGATCCGTTTCTATCCTGTCTTGCTTGGAAAAGGCAACTGAAATGAAAGAAATTAATAGAAAGGAACGAGATGGAAAGACAAAAAAAAAAAAAAAAGAAAAAAGAAAAAAAAAGAAAGTACTGTGCCCAAACAGCATTATTTCATACAATAAGAATATGGGATATGTTGACTGATTGATCAACTGAAAGGACTATATGAAATAGACCGCAAAAGCAAGAAATGGTGGCACATGATTTTTTGTTTTTTTTTTTTTTTTTTTTTTACTTTTTAGATGCGAGTATAGTAAACACATTTATTTAAGTTTGTTCGCGAACCTGATCATGATGTAAAAACAATGAAAGATTTTCTTCTCTCAGTTACAGAAGGTCTAATGGCACTTGCAGGCAAGAAAGAGCTGAAAAGAAAACTGAAATCCCCAGTTCAAATAAAACTAAAAACCCGTTCGTACAACCAGAAAAGACACTAAAAAATGTAAGTAAAACGCCAAAGAGAACGAGCAGGAGAAGATGTGCATATTGCAGCATATCGAAAGAAAAACGACGAACATTTGGCATGTGTGAAACATGTGAAGTGCCTGTATGCTTACAAAAGAATGAAACAACATGTTTTTCAAACATGTTTTTCAAACACGTTCAGTTTCATGAAAGTGACTTTTTTTCAATTTTAGTCACATATAAATGTTTTTGAATCAAGTGCCAATTTTAATATTTTATTTAGTATCATATGTATGAGTATCAAATTTTAATCTTAAATTAATATTCAAGAAAATATTTTCTTTTGTTTTTAAAATTTAAAAATATTAAATATATACTACATGCAAAATGTGCATATGCAAAATTTTACAAGTCATGCATATATGCAATAAGTACAAAATGCATTTTAGTGTGTTTATTATGAATATTTTAGAATGCACGCTTTATTTTGTTTATTCATTCCACATATAATTTTTTTTTTCCTGCTATACACCAATATGCTACAAGACGTGCTAGTTGCATGGTGGGACAAACGGTATCCCACCTTCCACCGTAAAAAATAAAAGCGCAGAATTTTTTTCAAGCCTTAAAGGCACTTAAGTAAGTCCATCTGACTTATTCTAAGGCATTTTTTTAAAGATTAAAATATATTTTAAATATGCGTGTCGCAAAGGGTTAAAAGCAGAATTATTATTGAAAGTTATATCATCATCAATGTATCTAAATGCATTTGCAAATAACTTTAATTCATTCTTATTCAAACTTAGCTGGAATTTATCTTCATTAGCAAAAAGAAATAGGTTACATATTTGTGTAGAACCACTAGAATTCCTATCACCTGCTGAAAGATCTTATTATTGAATTTAATGTAGTTATTAAATAATACACAATGCAGGTAAGTTTTCCCAACTTTCAATTCAGAGGATGCTTAGCATGTCAGGAAAAAGTTGTGGGAGTTGCATTAAACTAGTATAAATTTCGTCCAATGGTAGAGAAGTATAAAGGTTTTCAAAGTCATAGCAGTTAAGTTCTTGATTTCTAAACTTTTAAATTTGTTGAGAACTGGAGCATTATTATTCAATAATCCAATAATAGTTGTGCTGCTTATTAATTACTTGACGAATTAAAATACAGATTTTTTTACGTTTAATTGCAAATATGTAATCTATATTTTCTAATTATTTGTACCATTTGCTGTAATTCTAAATTTGAGTGGTGATTTATGGAATTTTGGAACAGCATAAAGATGTGCTAATATATTGTAGTTAGATGGTTGTGCAATTTGTAGTTTCTTAGGAAATGCTTTAAGCTTTTTTGCTATGACATTTTCTTGTGTATTGGTAAGTTTAAAAGTAATGTCATTATTCAGTTTAGTATCAACTAGTGAGACATAAAAAAATTTTCAAATAATGTTGAAATTATTACTGGCTTTATCAATTTTGTCCCAAGGCCCAAGGCGTTGGCTTCCGGAGTACATTTGCAAATAAATGCAATTACCTCCACAACATCGTTAAGAAAGTGAATTAATTAAGAGTCTTGCAATGGCTAAAGAAAATGAACGAAAACCATTAAGGGTTTAAAGATAACAGAAATGAATAAGGAGTCCGCACAAAGGGACAAAAGCATCTTTCAATTCACTTAGGTAGGGGTCAGAGACCTCCCGCCGCTGCGATATTAAAAGAGAGAGAGGTGATTGATAAGGCGAATTTTTGAACACACTGCGTGGATGGAATCAAAACAGGTTGAAAGAGTAAGGGACGGGAGACATATTTCTCCAGGCCCCGGGTAAGGTCGTCATGGCAACTCGAAGAGCAGCGGAGTTCGCTAATGCCTTGGGAATGGGGGGGGGACAGGTCGTGCGACCAAAAAGCTGGTTTGGAGAGTAGAAAAAGCGCAATTTTGGTGATTACAAATTTTTGTTTCAAATCTTGTATTAGAGGATTGAGAAAATTCATTGGTAAATTTCATTTTTTGGAATGTCAATTTTTCATGGTTTTAGATACGTGCACTTAATTTACATATGCTCTTAGAATTTGAATGATATTGTAAATAAGTTTGCAGCAATAATTCATTTTACTTTTTATTTTGCAATTAAAATTTCTTAATTTCTTAATTATATTTTTAATTTATATTAGCTTTATATGAATAGAATATTCGATGAAGTCAAATATAAATATGTAATGATTTTAAAATGAGTAGATGAAGACACTGGAACTTTTAACAGCTTATGATACTGCGTAGATGACCGAGAAGACCGTAGTGGCTAACTGGAGAACATGATGATGCAATTTAGCACAGCGTATCTTAAAAAATCATAATCTTTATTTTTTTATGTATATCAAATCATCATTTTTTCAGACAAGATGTTTAATTACATTTGAATACAGAAGTTGGATTTTGAAGTACGACGTCATCTTAAGCAAGTAAGCAGCAGCATACATGAAAAACGTCCTGCCGGCAGGAGAGCTTATGCGAAAAAGGGGTGAGTATCATAAAACTTCAGAGGAAGAAGGCTGGGAGTCGGAAAAGTTTCAGTTCAGAATTTTGGTTTACAATTAATTTTATTGGACAAGAGTTATCTGCATTAAAAACATTATGTAAGATAGAAATATCTGGAACCTGTGAGAAGAGATGAATTTAGGGGCAGATCACCAAATTTAAAATGTTAATTTTGAGGTAGCCAATTATTTTTTTGAAACAAGTTCCATTTTTATGGACCTCTAGTAACTTCTACCCATTTCCACTGTAGCTATTCTTTGTTGAAATAATTTTTATGGTTCTCTGGTAACTTCAACCCATCTTCACTGCTATCATCCTAACCCATGCTTTAGCCTAGAGACACAGTATCATATATAACAAAACCCATTTTATGTATCTAAGTGTCTGCCTGAAACGAGTCCAGCCATAACTTCCTCCAGGCCAAAGTCATACTCTTGTTAACGAGCAGACTGAAAATATTAAAATGATGTTTCAAGAAGGCCGAATGTCAACAACGAGGTAATGTTTACATAAAAACATGCTTGAAAATCATGTTACCAACTTGGGGTACTTTATCTCAATATACTGTCATTTGAAGTTCCCCCCCCCCAGATAATTTGTTCATGAAGTGGGGTGTTCCTGATACGAGGTTCCATTGTACTCCTTTGTAAACATACATAAAAAAGTGTGAAATATTGTCTTTTATGATAAAAAGGAAAGTAGAATGCTTATCTTTTACCCAGAGGAGCAAATAGATTTGAACATAATGTATCAATGTTTTCTATCAATTATTTTAAATAAAAATATTTTATAACTTTATTGAAGTATGGATTTGGCTTAAACTTCCTTATTTTTACAATTATATACAACTGAACTTCATCATAATCAAATAAAACAATATTTGATATTTTATCTATGCTGTTGTAGTACTACAGCAATATGCAAAAGTTGACGTGGATTATTTCTAAAGATGGCAGCTTCAGAATTATAAAAAAAGAAAACAATTTACATTAATGTCTTTCTCAAGCAGGAAATAGGCACATATTCAAATTTTTTAATCCTTCCTCCATAGATGACAATAAAAGTACAGTAAAGTGAACAGTTTCACTTTATATTCCAAGTAATGAAATACCTACTAGAAAACATTTTGATGACATCACTTCAGATAAAACAATTGTGAAGATGGATGGAATGAGGAGTAACTGGGATGAAAAGTCTGATATTGCCCCTAGATTCATTTCCTGAATAGGTAATGCTGTCTAACCAACAGGTACAGTTCTTAAACTGCTGGTGATTGCTATGAAATAACAACGCTTAGTGGTAACTATATTGCAGTTTTACAAGTCAAGAAAAACCAAAACAGAAATCAAAAGCAATTGCACATCAGTTGGATAAGAGCACTGATGTCACCCAACCTGGTTTATAGTGGAGAAATAAGACTGTGCCCAGTGGCCATTATATTGTCACTCTTAAAACTTACCCATCAGTATCACTACTAACGGTGGCAAAAGAACATAGGGAATGAGAAGTAAGGCTATACCCATGCAAAAAATATGCTTTTTTGATTCTATGGCAGATTTTCATATAAAAAGCAGATTTGCTAAATATGTTGTGAAGTAATTAATTGATTGTCTATATGCAAAATGATATACTCATATGCAAATGAATCAGTTCTTAGGTTCAACTCTTCAGCTGCTCAAAATTTAAATTCAGTACACTTAGGTAGCATTTAATTCAAGATGTCCACATCAATAAAAAATACGCACAGCTACAATTATTAGAAAACAGACAGGACAGCAATAATATATAAAAATATCAAATATACTTCAATCGGACAAAAATTGAAAGAAATCACATTATGCATTGATACAGAAATCTAATACAAATTTTCAATGATTTCACTTAAATGTCATTTGAACATGAAGTTTAGGCACACCATTAGAATCTTCCCTTAAGTCTTCTATATGTGATTTTTGATACAAATAATTACTTCCGCTGACAAAAACAAAAGTGAAAACATAAAGATTTTACTTTAGTTGAATTTTAATTTCAAAGTTATCGTTTAACAACTTTTTAATAAATGTTTGTTGCCAGCAAATAATAATACTAAATTACTTATTTAAATTAACAAGAATAATTTATTTTTGAAAATAAAGTAATTGAGCCAATTTTAAATTTGAAATCTACTGAACATCTTATCTAATATTGTTAAAACAAATTGAGTAAATTGACATTAAAAAGAGAACAAGACATTTCAGAAAGTAAAAACATATCACTAGCAAGCAAGAAACTAAATGCAAATCATGAAACACGTTCTCCCACGCACAGTTGCACTTTAATCACTGATAGAACACACAATACTTATAAAAAATACTAAATTCAAAATCCTATCCCAAAGGAGAAAAATTCCCTACTTTTTGGTTCAAATATAATCTCACCTGGACCTTCTTTGGAAATGTAGCAGAAAACATGAGTGTTTGCCTTTCTCCTATTCCAGGCATCCTGTCTTCAAGAACAATACGACGGATTTGGGGTTCAAAACCCATATCCAACATGCGGTCAGCTTCATCTAAAACTAAGTATCTGAAACAAAGGAGGGGGAATACATTTCTTAAAACAGTATATTCCAAATAGTAAACACTAATGTATTTCTTAAGGCTCTACTTTATTACATTTTAGCATATTTAAGTTTAAAAAAATCAGTTTTCACGAAATATGAAACTAATTTTTTTATACAATACCCCATTATAACCTATATTCGTATTTACGAAAATTTTATACGAAATAAAACTAAAATAACAAGTTTTTTTAACGTTAAGTTTTAAAAAATAACAATTGGTTACCGTGTGACCAAAATTGACCGAGATATTTCAGTTCAACATTGGAACATTTTATGTCCCTTTCAACTTCCATTCAGAGTTTGGTTCACAAATAAATTAAAAGCCTGAATTTTTCCCACTTAAAAGCCATTTAATGATACTTCTTTTGTGATTTACCAGTAATTAACATACTTTATAATTTTGCTACAACAGCTACATTGGCAGGTTTTCAAATCAGTTTCAATTATTTTTCAAATGTTAAAAATACATAATTAATACTCTTCTGAAGATTTAATAGTATACAATCATAATCTAATAATAATAATAATAATAATAATAAAGCTTCACTAAACTAGAAATAACTTATGGCTCTGTTCAGGCAGGTTATAAATGTCTTAACTGGTTTAAGCCAAGTTTCGTTACTAGGTAGCCAGACCTTTCTAAGTCATAAAAACTGGTTTAGGGGGCTTTGGCATAAAGTTCGAAGTTGCCAACTTGATATAAGAGTCAATCAATCAAAGCGAACGGGTGAACAGAGTGTGAAAGCTTGAGACACATCCACACATGCACAAATTTAGCTTCTGTAATTGGCTACGGCTTAGACCCTGTCTCGTAGATGTGAACGGATTTCCTGCATTTTATGACTTATGACAAAGACACTTTGACATTTATACCACAGTCTGAACAGAGCTTATAATGTCATAGGTTGGATATGTGATTATATGAATTGGCCTGACAGTATTTCCAACTAATTTTAAAAGAAAGAGTCTGCATTAAGAGATCTTTTAGGAAAAAACAAGTGAATATTTCATCCCTCTATATGCATACAAGACCCTTAATATGATCATGAACTTAGAAACGAAATATTTCCATCAATTTTTGTTGTACAGGAGTCACACTGTACTTTATTTTTACAATCAGCACAAAATTTTCCTCCATACTAATACAGGGGCCAAGGAAACATATAAAATGCATATAAAGTTGATTTTTTTTTAAATTTTGTTTAAATTAAAATCCAAAAACATGAGTATTTGCATCACTTAAAACATTTTCACAACTGCAAGTCTCCAATCACAAGTTACAATACTGCATTTTGATGACTTAAAATATAAAAAGATATATTAAGTAAGTTTCAAAATAAAATAAAATGGTTAATATTTACATATAGATAATATAAATTAACACATTCGCTGCCGCTGGCGCGTCAGCATGGCGCTACCTCCCATGCCGGTGACACTCTGGGGCGACAATCGAGTATGATAAGTAACTGCTTTAGTTTTAGTTGGATTTGGAGGTTGAACGATGAGGTTTTGTGGTCGTTAGTGAAACATTATTTTATATTTTCATGCTGGTTTTTTAATTTTGTGTTTAATTTTTTTTTTTTTTTTTTTTTTTTTTTTTTTTTGTGCAATTTTTAAATGGCGACAGTACAAGTATTGCAGGACCTTCACAGCCTAAGAAAAAGCAGTAAGTAAAAACTGACTGATGCCGAATATTAGAATTACTAGAAAGAGTGATCTTCTGATTTGACAGCGTAGACGTGAAGATTACGGTTGGGATTCTACGAGTGAATCGGAAGGAGATAGTGATTGTCGCGTGGATAACTTAGAATGTCGGATTCTGACACAGAAGATCAACATTACCGGTATCGACCTTGAAAAAAAGATTCAGTTGCATGGTATCATCATTTACAAAATCTGAGTCCTTGCTAATACAGCCAACTGAAAGTACTCCTATCGGATATTTCGCTTTCCACTGAAGTATCTGGAAAAAAATCGAAGAAACAATCGTTACGCATTGAAATACAAAATAGCGATAAACGAAAGAAAAGTCACGAATACGCTTTGGAAAGATTTAAAAGTGGATGAATTTTTAGTTTTTTTGGGAGCATTCTTGCAAATGGGACAGTAAGAAGAATAGACTTCAGGACTACTGGAAGAAGCAATTTTATAATTTTTCATAAATTTCTTCTCTTTATCCAATTAAACATTTTATTCTCTTTTAAACGTTGACTTTATAATGTTCAATAATTTCGCAGAAAAATGGACGCGCCGAGCGTCGTGGATACAGATAATAGTTGAACGTGAGGTGCCCTGACGCTCTAGAGTGTCCGAAATTTTTTTACACTAAACACGAAATAAAAGGTTTTTCTTTTTTTCTGGCTTTACTATTAAAATATTAGGAACGTTTTTAATCATTAAAACACTTTTTTAAATTCGGCTTCTGAGGACAGATATATAAATTTTGGTGGCAGCGAATGTGTTAAAAAAGAGAATATCTTAACTACGTCAAATCATACCACAAAAGAATTTTTTTTCATAGAAAATTCACCTGCCAAATTTTCTTCCTCACACACATCACTTAAAACTTCATGAGGGCTAGATCTGCATTTAAGAAATATCTAGCCATTATTTTTTATGCCACACATACATCATTAACTCAAAATTTTACCACCAATTTATTAATGTATGCATTGATAAGACTTTTTATTGGTTAATTTTTCACAGAATGTAAAAATTGCCATTAGGCATTTCAGGCTGCTTGTCAAAGATAAAACAGCATGCTGAAGAATTTAGACTCAAATTATCTCCTCCCCCCCCTTAAGAATGACAGCCACATTTTCATATTGAAAGAGAGTTTTAATTCATTATAAGTTTAAAATAAGAAAATAATTCTCAGTTAAGCATTCATGACAGTTAATATACCATACTAAACAATATTCTAAATCAATCTGTAATAAAAATTCTAAGCTGACAATAACAGCTCCAGTTCTTATTTGAAATTTTGTCTTCGTTTGTTACCTTCTTTCAAATTTTTATGATTTTTTAAATCCGTTGAGGCAGCACAAATTGTCTTTTATTAATATTTCACTTGTCTTATTAGTTTCGTGCAAGATTCTGATTCGTATTTGAGCTAAAACTCATCTTGGGAAATTGGTGATGGGAAGATAATGGGTGATTAGACAGTCTGATTCCATTCCCTAGGTAAGCCGCAACCACGCCTGTGATGCAACTCAAGAAAACAGCCATCATATGCTTTATTTAAATCAAATAAGCCAACTATTAAATTTTTACAAAATATTCTCCCTGTTGAGCCAATGAAGAACCTTTTGAACATAATACCTAAAAATGAAACTGATCCTATTATACTTAGCTGCATTATTTGCAGTTGTGAAGGTAACTATACATTCTGTACTAAAATAACCGAGTATTTTTTGTTCCAGATGAAGATAGACCTATATCTAATTGCTCTAAAATTGATAATTTTATTTAAAATGTATGGCAAACTAACAACTAACAATGCCCCCCCCCAGTTTCAAAATTTTACATTGCCATGTTTCTCTTCAATTTTACCCCTTTACATTCTGTGATGCCATCTGAGTATACAGAAAAGCTTTTCACCTAGTTTCTGCAGAAATTCCATGCAGGCAACACTTACAACAGAATAACATGGAAATCATGCAACTTATAGGTCACTGATTACCTATGAATACTACAAGAAACTTTAACTGAGTGGAAGTGAAAAAGAGAAGACATGATACCAAGATTATAATAATCTTAGAATTTCCACACTGCTTTAGCATATGAAATCATAGGCTAATTCCCGATCACCTTGATTCCCAAAGCATCATAATTTATTTTTAAAAAATGTCTACTTTATTAGTTCTATTTCACAACATTAAAAATCACACTTTGTTATGAAAGAAGGTGACTTATGTTGAGACATTTTATCCTAGTTCAATTACATAGAAATGGAAAATAAAACATGGATCACTGAATAACTTTTTCAGATTAAAATACTTCAATTTATACACATGAAAAATGGCAAAAATATCTGTCAATTTCTGTTAACAGATATTAATTTTCAATTTAACTTGCCATAAGCATCTTTAATCTAAAGTTATAAAACATTTCATAACATATCTATATAAAAAAAAGACCTCAAATTTCAGACATAAGCGGAACAAAAGCTTCCTAAAAAGAGTAAATATTTAATACCTAACTCCAACTTAAAGTACATGCATAAGAATTTTCTGACCAAATAAGCAAAGAAAAATTACCTAACCATTTCCAAGCTGATTTTCCCCCTTTCCATCATGTCCACTAACCTACCAGGCGTTGCAACCAGCAAATGGCAACCACGATCCAAGTCTTTCATCTGTTGAGCAGGATCAGCACCTCCATAAACAACACACGGCCGTACTCTTGAGCGATATGCAAATTTACATGCTTCATCATATATCTGACAAGCTAACTCTCGAGTTGGTGAAAGAACAAGGGAAAGGGGATACTGCTTTACTCTTGATGAATGTCGTGGAGGCTGGGAAAAAAAAATATATATATATATAATATCAAAAAAAAAAGAGGATCACAACATATGGAAAAAGTTATGAACTGACATGTTTATTAAGAAATTACGCTTTTTATTTTCCCAAAAACATATTTCAAATATTTTTATATATATATTAAGCATTCTCATTTTAAGATGAAAAGGAATTGAAATGTTTATGTTAGCATAAATTCAGGCATTTTTGCATAATGAAACTCAAAAGCACAAAAAAAAGAACATGCGCCAAGATATATATTGGCGAGAAAAAGCGAAGAAAGGGGCATTTGATTCTCACCTTAGCTATTTGTACCTGCTCCAAAGGTCTAATTATGATAGTGTTTTCTCTTTTAGGTACTGTGCCAAAGTATGTTCCTGTTCTTTTTTTTTTTTTTTTTAATTGCCTAAATATAGGTAAGCCTGAGTATATTACGGCTGATGATGATTCTATGCAAGTTATTCTTTTCAATAGTTCAATTTTTAATGTCTGCAAAGATTGTTACTTTAATTGGTATTGTACTTATGCACAATTCTCATATTTTTTAAATAAAGATTTCATAGTTATTTTGACTTAATGATTCTTTGATTAAAGCTGTGCTAAATACAGGAAATGTACTCAATACCCCTTACCTGCTAATGCACAATACAACGGTTTTATAACTTTAATGAATAAAGCTACTGTCAATGGGAAACAAATATTCCACTGCAGCATCAGAAAATAAACATTCACTATTTCTTTCAGGATCATACTACAATTATATGCACTATCCATGATACAGAAATCTAATACATGGAGTTTCTTGAAAGAGCGCCAATTGCTGATATTATTCTCAGTTAATGGCATTTGGTGGAGTTCATGTTTTCCTATTTTTAAATTTAAAGGCTTAATAATAATCCTTTACTGTTAAGTTCATTATATTTTACTTTAAAAATAATAAACATGCAATAGGCATTATTGATAGAAATGAGCATTACAAGCATATTAAGCACAATTCTTTTTAATTAGCATTGGCAATTAAATTTCTTTTCACATTCAAAAATACAATGAAAACTTTGCCAAAGACTGACATTACATGTATGCTTTTAAAATACTACAAAACATTAGAAATAAATTACAATCATCACCTAATATGACAAAATACTGCCCTTTATATTTTAAAGAGACTGGAAAACATAGCTGAAACAAATCAGATCACCACTCATCACGAAATCTTAATACAGTATTAAAGTAAAATCAGTGCAGATTTAAATGGTGAAATTTATTTAAATGATGAATACATTCCTTGAAGTAACATTTATGAATGTTTATACAGCTTTACTTTAACAGCCATTAAAAATGAAAAAAGAAATATTTTCTTAATTGAGGAAAAAAGGAATATGATTAAAGATATTTTAAATAGATGGAAATGAAATAGCTGGATTTACTGATGCTTCAAAGCAAATGGAAAAATGCAAAAAACACATTTACTCATAGTAGTCATTAGCAACATCATTAAATTGTTCCCAGCAAGTTGTATACATTACACGTTAAAACTTCAGCACCTCTAGAGATAGTGAAATCTTTTAACTCTTTAGCAACGGTAAAATGTTCCTTTCACTGTCAGACAAAAATAATTTGCCTCTGAAAAGTCCACTATTACACAAGCATAGTGTAGGGGATTTAATTAATTAGTTAATATGCAAATTTTGTGCAACTGTTGCATAGCAATAATCTGCTGAGAAAGAAATGAACAGTTGACAGTGCAATTAAAAAAAGCCATAAATGGTCAGCATAATGGCCCTTTCAGACCTCGGATCACGTCAATTCCTCCGAGCAATACATGGGAAGAATTCCCAGAATACTACACAGTAGAACCCTCTTCTGATTAGTTGACCTATGCAAAACACTGCTTCCTGCTCATTTTTTACTTCAGTGCTGCAGAGTATTTTGGGTACATATGCAAAAGAGATTGCTGAATGCATCAATTTCCACAAATTTGTTGGCAAGAACACTACTGTTGAAGCTAGTACCAAGAGAAATGTGTCTCTTGGAAAAGTTCCTCACTGTGTTTATTGCATGTCTGTATATTTGATTAAATTTTTAACTTCTCTAAACATAGATCAGCTCTGGAGTACATATAGAATAATAAAAGAATGAAGCTAGACTCGCTTTTCATCAAAATCATAATATACTCCAGGAAATGCTCTTCCTTTCTGCTTCCTTCTGTTTTGGACAGAACAGCACATTGTATCTTACATTTTGCTCTGATCAGTAGCTTGTGAAAGATTGGCAAAAAAAGCTACGAATGCTATGAATTCCAGTACCTTCTAGTCTTCCAACTATGAATTCCAGTACCTTCTAGTCTTCCAACTATGAATTCCAGTACCTTTTAGTCTAATTCAGCAACCTTTTGCACTGTCAGGAATATTCACTATTTGTAAGTTGCCGAATACTTACTGTCTGTGGTTCTCTTCCCAGCTGTTGAAAGGGCTTACTGCAAGGTAGGTATATTTTGGATGCGTAACACAATCCTATCTCCCTAAAAATTCTCTACACACACAATTATTTTCACAAACCTTAATAAGATTTCTTATAATTCAATATTTATTCTAAATCTATTTCATGCTACATGGTTCAGACCTGGTTGAATCAAACAAGCATGTATAATTATTATATCTCCCATACTTGCTTATACGTGACACTGTAAGAAATTAGATGATAAACTACTGAACTTTCCCTCAGAAAACACAATTTATCGTATGTTTCATTAGCCACTTCAACAGTTGAATATTTAGTCTAGCCGCTTCAATAGTTTATGATTTAGTCAAACTAAATAAACAAAAGATATATAAGTTGGAAGAGTATGATAGATAACATAGAATAATGAAAATCAAGTTCTACGTAAATGCAAAAAGTAGCAGTTAATCAACAAAAAACTTAACAAGTTGAAGAAAATGATGAATAAACAACATAAATACTGGTATTTTTCCATTAAAGGTATTCACACATTTTCCTGTTCACAATGTTTCTAATTTCAGGACAAAATCCTCCAAAAATCCCCTAGCCTATATTATTTTCTTTTATTTTTCCTTTCTGTGATTTTTTTTTCCAAGTTTCCATTATTACACTTAATCAGTTTTAATTTCAGGATGAGATAACAAGAAAATGCTTCACACCTCTTGTGTAATTATTGCACTCAACCACTGCAGTGCCATTCATGTGGAGCAAGCTTTTGTTCCCAAAGCTAATTGTTGTTAATTTTTGACACCATGAGTAAAATTAATCATATGGCAGTCCTGAAAGGAATGGGCAATTCAACAAACTATGTTTGTGTCTGGACATCTAACTTTTGACACCATGAATAAGTAAATCATAAGGCAGTACTGAAAGGAATGGGCGATTCGTCTGGACTACTCTTTATCCCAGCATAAGTTCCTAGCTCCATGGCCATTTTGACTGCAAATTACATTTTACTTTAGTGAGGAATACTATCCATGCAAAGAATATTTCTTTCTTGGGGAAAAAAAAAAAAAAAAAAAAAAAAAAAAAAACAGGATAGATGCTTCTTCGTTTTTTCACAAATCCCAAGTAATGAAACTCACAGGAGTTATTAAAAAAAATTAGATGAAAAATGTTTCACAAGCAATGGTCATTTTCAGGAAAGAAGCCAAACTAAACTGGTGACACCTGGTGCTAAGGAAATATGAAAAAATAAAAAAGTGCCAAATGGTGTATGACTTTTAACAGAAAAGTATCTCAACACTAACTATGAAGTATACAAAATAACAAATACTTCTAATATTTATTTTTTTTTTCATAATTTAGAAAAACAAATGTAGAAAGTTTAAAAAACTTACCACTGGAATATTTTTAGGGGGACCATTTTCAAAAATCTGATTCAATATAGGTATAAGAAAAGCAGCAGTTTTCCCAGAACCTAACAGAGAATGAATTTTTAAATGTGTATTTTTATATTTTCAATAATTATCTAACAGCATGGGCATTTGAAACTCAAAATTTTAAATTACAGAAGCCATACATTATGTACAATGCATTTGTTGCACGTTAAAGAAATTTTATATACATTAGCGCAAGTTATTTTAAACAACAAAAACTCTCAGCAAAGCTCAATCTCAAAAATAAATTTTATGAAAAAAGTTCTTTTCATTCATTTAAAATTTCAGACATTTATATATAAATAAATTTTTATCATGTTAATTTTTTAATAGTGTGTTTACCCTTTAGAACCTTGGTCAGACAATGATGATACTCACACTTTGCCATTTGCAGAATGAGTCAGAAATAAGACCTTTACATCTGAAATAAATGTAACTAAGTATTGTAGACAAAAATGGTTTTTCAAGTATCATGGCTGAGCTTACGGGATTAACCTAGATGACACTGACCATGCACCTATAAATTACAGCAGCAGCATGTGCAATTGCATTTCAAAATGATCATGAGGCTGCGAAATTCACAAGATTTGAATGAAGAACTGTTGCTATCAGCTGTGGAAAAGTGAAGAAAGAAGCAACAGAATAAATCTGTTCTTTCTGCTATATACTGTTTTTCAATTTGAAGAACTGACTTCCCAGTAGAGCTATCACATTTACATCATAAATCAAATGCCCAGCTATCATTCCAACTCAAATTATGCATATATATATATATGAACAAATTTCTGCTTTTTGAATAAGTTTGTAAAAGTTATATAGTTATATAGTTTATGACACATGCAGCCACTACAACTATCAGCAATATAAACATGTATTTATTGTGCAGCATATTATAATCATTTATTTATTCCACTGCATTATTATCTTAACTCATTAGTTATTTTATTTAGTACTTTTCCATTTTGCTGGCGCAGGCAATAAAGTCGCCAAAAATGGTACAAACGATGCCTGATGCCAAACGGAATATCTTTGCTGGTAACCTTTTCCGCCTCATTTTCAAAACAAGTCGCAGCAATTTCTTATAAGATTGTTTCTGTCAATATTGGCATACAATTACATAGAATTTTTACCAGATAGTTCAGTTTTATGCCGTAAGGCCATTTAAGTAAGTCAATTAGGATGCAATCACACCGCTCACCCGAAGGTGAAAATGTAGAAAAGGTAAAGTCAAGGGTTAAATTCATAAATTCCAATGAGAATGCACTAGCGAAATAAAGCACTGCTGTTTTACATAATTCTGAGTAAACTTTCGTACGAATTGACATAATTGTTGCATTTAAACTTGTATTCCATATTAAGATTTAACTTGAAATTAATGTAGAGAATTAGATGTTTGTAGCATAGTTTACGTGAGATGAGATCACTTGGGGACACGTGATATGAACCGGCGAATCAAGATATTTTACCATGAAAGCATAGTAAATTCATAAATTAATGTCTCTTTACAAATTTATTGTCTATATTTATTGTCTTTTTACAAAATTTTAAACGATATTAACATGTTTATGCCTTCAAAATAACAAATTTTTAGAACTAACATTTGTTAACGTTTTTTATGTGTATACTGTGTGTCGTCACCAATAAAGTCTGCTTGGCAAGATTTGCACCAGCGAAACAGAAAAGTAACCTTTATTTATGTAGACATTACTATAAAAAGACAAATTTAAGATGTATCAAAATTCAGGAGACATTTTAAAAAATGCACAAAAAATTAAGGAACATGCAGTTTGTACCAAAATTTCAACATAAAACACACCAAAAAAGGGACAATTTCATTGTTTTGCCAACAGGGACATTGCAGCATCATCATACTCTTCAGATGATATTTAAGAAAGCTTAAAACATGATATAGTTTCTTCGCATCATACAGTTTCAGACCAGCAAGTATTCAGTATGTTTTCAATTGCAGAAAATTGCACTAAAAAGATAAATTTCATACATACTGTTCCGTAACACACTGCATCACCATTTCAACAGATAAAAACAGTGATATGCCAAGGAAAGGATTCAACAAGATGTTGAAAGCCAGAAGGTGATACAATTACCCTGCAGTTTCAGCTGTAATTCCATCACAGAGCACAGTGGTGTCATCTGACTAGATTTCCAGTCTCAAACATTCAGTGGAACTATGATTTGGCAAATACCAACTTCAGCATTTGATGTCTTCCTGTTAGCAATGGAACTCAAGATGCTTGTCAGCTGTTATAACCAAGCTCTGGCAGTTGTCGATAAACAGTCTTTACACTGATGCCGTGCAATATTATGACATTTCATTAATGTCAGTTGTAATCTGCTGTATGGATGAACTTCTTGCCATTGATAGGATAAAGAGTCTCTGAGCACCTTGTGCATCAACTGCAATTTGCAAACATATTTTACATGATCCTTATCGTCCTCTGTGCTTTTGCAGTACTGCTGGTACCCCATGTCATAGAACACGCCCAGCAGTTCAGCAGTAGCTGAAATCACATCCAGCTTACAGAATGCTGACAATTTTTCAACAATCACACATACTTATAAATCAGCACCTTTACCATGATAACAATCTCTGTTGTGCTCGACAAAGTTCTGATATTTTTACTCGGAAGCACAACAGGTAGCTGCTCACAAGCCACTTGTTCCCGTTGTGCTCTCACATCATAGGTATGCATGATAATTCCTCTTTTCAGTATACATTCTGCAAGGCTTTCTCTGTAGTGGAGGAATGATTACACCACTCATGTAACAAGCAGTATTTCAATCTACAGAAATGACTTCACAGCACATAATCTTTTTCTAAATTTTGGAAGCCTTCTACACGGAATTTTCCGGCCGTAACGCTGAGAGGGATAATACGGATATGAGCGAGTTTATTAGAAAGCCCTCAACGAAGGCATCCCTTTCCTTTGGCAGAAAGCCCTCGTGTACTTTGCCATGATCAAATAAAGCAGAACAAAACAAGCCTTGTAGGCATCTATGCTTATGTTTAAGTTCTTCTAATAAAAAATGAAATAAAATATGGACAAAATTTTTAAAATTCTGAAAATGTACAGACTTAAAGTAATAGCAGATTTTTAAGTAACAACACATACAAATTAATTGTGATAAATCATCATAGCTTTATTAGAATCAGAATCTGATGAAGTACAATTATTTCGACAATCAGTATAAAAGATTAACTGAAAGCAAATGATAATTAAAGATAATTTATTTCATTTACTTTTTAATTCATTGTTTCTCGCAAAAACAATGAATTAAGAAAATTCAACCATCAGCTAAAAAAAATTAGTACAGGACTGCAGGTTTAAACCTAAGACTTCAAATAAACACAAAACTAAAATCCACGAGCTTTCAAATCCTGTGATAAATAAGATGCTGTTTGGAACCACACATTCTTAAAAATAAAGAATATTACTTCTTTTATGATGGGCTGTATTATTTTGCATAAACATGACATTCTGTACCAAATTTCATTGCTTCTGTCATAGTATGTTCTTCATAACATGTTTGTGTACCATGTTCTTCATAACACATTTGTGTAATATATAGCCCTATTATATTTTACAATTTTTAACTTGTAGAAATTGACTCTTAAAAAGAATAGGTTAGTGATGATGGATGTTATGACACTGCATTATACACTGATTCACAGTCAATCTAACAGCTTCTCTGTATTATGTGCAGGAATTTTCTTTTGTCCTTATTCAACAATTATGAGTATTGGCTATTGTAAGCAATGAAAAATATTCATCTGTCCAAAGGATATTCAGAATCTAGAGTGGCTAATCTGTAACTTTTTTAATGCTCATGTGGCAAATATTTCCTGCTTATCAGTACGAATATATGATTTGATTGTAGTTGAAGCAGGGACTGTAGAAGGCAACGATACAACTGCAACACACCCAACACACTAATGGGGCTGGGATGCATAATTTTCACAATTTCCCAAATGCTGCTAGGTTTTAAAAGATATAAAGAGAAAAATATTTGTATTACAAAAAAGCTCATTTGACACACTTAACCTTCATTTCTGCTGAAATTCTTTTAGAACTTCAGAGTTCGCATTTTTTCAAAAACGAGTCTAAAAGTGTGAAACTAAAAGTAATTCAGCATCTGCTTTGATTCTAGTATATTACAAAATCATACGATCAAAACATTTTATATTTCTGTATCTGAATTTTGGAAATTATCATGTTCCTTACATTCCCAAACAAACATTTCAAACAATAGCCAACACATACACTAGTTATTTTTACTATTTTGGATTTGATTGGATTGTTCAATTATTGCAAAGCACGCCAGGGCTATTTGCCTAAAGGGAGGGATGCCTTCGTGAAGGACTTTCTAAGGGAAACTGGCTTGTATACACGTTACACATGGGGAAAACCACGAAAATGCCCATGCAGCCAGCCCGTTCCTGGGATTCTAACCTCGGACTAAACTACCAGTGTTCAGTGTCTTTACCGCTCAGCCGCTGGTGGGCCCTTTTACTATTTTGTGTGTATCAGTGGCATGGCTATTAATTTCTCATTCATCTAGGAATTTTTCACCTTGGGTAATAAAATATGATTATCTAACTATAATAATGATAATTATTATAATAAAATATGATTTTTCATAGCACGAGAGACCTTTCGCAAGCGGTGAATCTAAAATCGTGTCAGTCACCTTGGTTAGTAATTATAGTGGATAGTAAGATAAAATAAGATGAGAAATGATGAACAGGCAGAAAATTATGGAAGTTTTGTACATAGGTCAAGCATACTACCGGTTTCAATCCACAGATGCTGCAAAACCAAATACTGGATGAAGGAATGAAGTGGTCCTCGATGACAACGTTGGACCACAGCGGATGCTTCAAGAGCTTTGCAGTTAATACTTGCAGCATCCTTTACCAATCCTCTATCGGCACCAACTATAGGTGCTGGTGGCAATAATTAGCAATTATTATAGCAATAATTAGCTGGTGGTATACAAGGCATATTACATACCAGCCTATTACATATGTTCAATTCGATTTTAGTCTGAAAAACATGCATGCTACTCCATCCAATGAACATCTTAACAGCATTGTTATTGTTGCTATGATGAGGTCTGGCACCATTAATCATAAATAGAAAATCAAGGCAAAAAACGGAATTCTGAAAAGATACACACAGTGCAACAGCACAACATAATACTGATCACCAATACTGATATCTCCTTTCAATAATAAAGCCCTGTATTTGCCATCAGCAACAGTAAGTTATTGTATTTCACAGAAAATTTTCACATAGTGCATGCTGCCTCTCTAAAAAAGCTCTGCCATACACTACATACGCAGATTAAAATGTGAGTGAAAAATAAATTTTTTCCCTTTAACATTTTACTATTCAAACAAGCACACACCCTTATAATAAAATACATTTACATATCCCGTTTACAATCTACACCCAATTTAAAAATTAAGTTAACACACAACAATAAAAATTAAGATGCAAAGTTACATTTCATGAAATTAAGTATGAAGATGGTAACAGTCATAAGGAAGTTTTCATGGCTTCAATAAACTACAGACTACGCATACTCCTTCACTTATTCATTGAAAGCAAACATACCTGTTTGTGCACATGCCATGAGATCCCTTTTATGCAAAATAATTGGCATTGCATATTTTTGCACAGGTGTAGGAGAGGTGTAACGGGTTAATTCTATATTCATGCGAATAATTTCTGTCAATGGTAATTCTGAAAACTGAAATATGAGAGGAAAAAATTAATGACAATGATTAAGCTGTTTTCAAGAAAAATATAAAAAAATTGCTCTAGTATGCATACTTATTCACAATTTTTACACTACAAAACATTCAATTAGAAATAAATTACTTTTGACAAAAATAATACATCAAAGAACATTTAACAAATTCAAATACTATATTATTTAAACATTATTTTTAAATAACAGCAAAACTAAAGTACTATATCAAAACTTACAGAAGATATAAATAATCAGATATGAATATTCATATCTAGGAAAAGTTATATCAAGAATAAAAAATTTAAACAGGCAAACTGACACTTAAACCTTTAATGCAATATAAACAATATAAACAAATCGATCAAAAAAGTAATACAGAGATACAGTTACTTCATAACGAAAAATTCGAAGCCCAATGTAAAATAATTACTTTTCCCAATGTATAGTTCATACAATTTATCTTACTACTAGCAAATCTTTTTTAAACTATGCATCATCTATGATTTTTACATATAATTTTTTATGCAAATGACTACAACAGAAAAGCCATGAAAAGATTTAGTAACACACAAGCAGAAATACAATAAGAATAGAAAAAATAGAATTTGCAACAACCTTCTTTAACATCATTTATAGTAGTTTCATAACTCTCAGTAATAATGCTGTTATATGTAACTTATACTGTTATATGTACATAACTTATGCTGTTATATGTAAGACAAGTCATAATACTCTAAAAATTTTCTGAAGAATACGCTGTTAAGTAGAATAAAGTTTAGTTGGACCTACTGTCTTTTAGTACCTACCTTTATTTGTATCATGAGATTATTAATTATAATACAACACACATGGCAATTCCCTAATTTGTCAAATAAACAGAAATAAAAAGGCAGTCTTTGCAGGAAATCTGACAGATTATGGAAATACACCACAACCAACATAAAAGAATGAAAAGCTGCTTTTAAATATCAGGAAAGAAAAGCTGCTTTTAAATATTAAATACAAAAGAAGTAGAACAAAACTAGAAAATTTAATAGAATCACATAAGCATTATTTTGTTCTAAGATGTTTTACCATCTCTCCAGCAGCCTGAAAATTCCTTTTCAAGAAAAATCATTAGGTTTACTCATAAAGAAGTCGGGCATTATTTGACAGTCTCCAAAAAACAGGAAACTCCAGGCTGTTCAGAGAATTGTAAAGTGGCTTGAATGGATGAATTTTTGAGAAGGCACGGTATGATGAATGGAAGGGGATGACATAAAATATTCCAACCACATTTATGATTGAAAACACCTTGATGACTGATCAAGCTCTAGGCACTTTGCTTCTAAAAATGCCATTTTATAAGATAATTTTCCTGAATTTATTTTTAGATTTGGTGGCGACAATTCAATAGTATACAATTCTAACCATACACAAAGCACATTACTTTTTGGGGATGAAACTGCTCTTTTGATACTACTAAAAACGGTTCTTTTAACTTACAAAATAACATTTTTCTTGCAGCATTATAGTATGGTATCCAGTTATATTCAGTAATGAGCCAATTCCAAAAATGTTCTTCATTTTCAAAACTCTAACAAGCATAACCTATGTTAAAAAATGGAGTACAATATAAATTGTAGCAGCAGAACATACCCAATCTTCTTCAAATGATCGTGTTAATTGTACTTTTTGGAATATTTCCTCTGTCCAATAGTTCCTGATGTGTATAACAGATTTTCAGTGACTTCTTATAACAGGTAACTGTTTGCAGGAAATGGTCATCCAGAGCAAACATTGAAATTTTTGCATTATAACTTCTCAAACCACCTTTGAACTGCGTCATCAGAATAATAATTTTGTCCATACATTTGTCGACTAGCATTTTTCCTCTTTTAAAATAAAACAGAATATTATAAAGAAAATGAACTTTCAAGTTCTCCATCTTTACCACTGCACAAAAAAAAACAATACTTATCTCAACACAATATTTATCTTCTTTGGCTGAAACCATCCTTATCATGCATAGACATTTCATTCTTGAATACACATTTTGTCAACCTGCTTATGATATTTTTCCTTCAACTGATTTACTGCTGACACCTTACCTATAACCATCCATTAAAAATCATGAGTATTTGCTGCCTTGAAAGTGTTACTTGAATACTCAAAGCCCACTTCCAAATCCTCGATGAATCTATGATAATTAAATGCAGCTGATCTATGCCAATGTAACTAAAGACTTCCCCCAAATTAAATCATCCTAATTTCATACAGCATATACAAATTCAGAGGGAACAAGTTTTGACTGAAAATATTATTCTTTTATAATCCAAAAAGACTACAAAAGCGTACTAAATATGATTTCAATGCTAATATTTATACACTAGCAAATATAAAATCGAGAATCTGAAGCATGGGGAAAATGAAAATAATAGAATATTATGCACTTGTATATTCTATGAAGAAAGTAATTTTATCTTAATACAAAAAAAAAAAAAAAAAATTATTAGCAAATGAAATCTTCAAAAAAATTATATTCACACATAATGAACTTACTGAATTAATATGAGGTGGACAATCTTCTCCACTAGCTTCTACAGGTATGTCTTCATATTTCTCAAAATTGATTCCAGTATGACCTTGTGAAAACAACTGCCTGAAAATATTACTTCACATTGATAAAATTTATAAAAATGTACATATACAATAATCACTACAAAAGTATAATTTTATGAAAATTATTTTATCATGTCACTTTAAATGAAGTTATGGGAAACTACAGTCATTTATTATCTGAATTGAATGAAAATGACTCTGGAAGACCTAGCTTTAACGCAAAATAGCAAAAGGAAATCACATTTAGGAATTAGTAGAATTTTTATAATGAATTCAGGTGAATTCTTTGTGTCATGGTGAATTCAGGTGTCCAAATACTTATTGGTAGTCAGTGTATAAGGACAACGTGACCTCTATTGGGAAAAAAATTATGCATCAGATCATACTGCAGACTTTTTTTTCGAAAAAAATGTTTCCCACAGGTTAATTGCTAAGAAATACTCAAGTGCAAGGACAAAAATGGCTGCAACTATAGAGAAATGGGTTCAAAAAAATAGTAAGAAAAATAAATCTTCAGTTATTGACTGCATTAAAAAAGTTCCCTTCTGTTATGTAGTTTACTTTTTGTCCTCATTTTAGAAGGAAATTCAATAGGCTTTAATACATAGCATAACTTATTATTAATACTTTAAAAAAGAGTGCAATTCCTTCGGGATAACTGCTTAGCACTTGGTTGCACTAACGCACTAGTAATGGTAAACTTGAAGACTGGTGTTGCAGGCACCTTAAAAAAAAAAAGAAAATTCACATTTGCAAAATTTTAAATGCACCTGTTAAATTTTGCAGCTGAAAAGGAGTCTGCTTCTTTGCCAATAAGTGTGGATTAACATATTGTTGATATTTATTATTACCTTGGAAAAATTGCTAAAAGGAAGGAAAAATTTTTAAAAATTTACACTCCTCCATAATACTGAATTAAGAAAAAACCTGATGCACATACTGGTTATCTTTAGAGAATTAGATTTTAGAGAAGAAATTTTAGTTTATTTAGAATCTTTGACCAATGGAAACCACTTCCTACATTTTTTTAAAGAATAAGTAAATGCTTCTAGAATTAAAGATAAAAGGCTCTGTTGAAAGTTATAAACTACCTTAAGTAAATAGAGATGTAGTTATTACTACCGTTAAAAATAGATGTGAGAAAAATTATGTAATTTCTGCATCTATGGGCAATTCTCAAAATAATACTACAAAATATAAGCATAAAGCTCTCACAAGACAAAGTTCTCTCTCAAAAAAAAAAAAAAAAAAAAAAAAATTTGCTTGACAGGGGACACATTTTCAGATTATTGTAAGCTTATCTTAAGAACAAATATTTTTTTTGTCTTCGGACCTGAACAAAGCTCTTTGCTTTTTTGTACACTCCACTGTGCCATCATTCGATGTTCTTGACACAATTGTACAGGGCAGAATTGCATTAATTCTTCTTTTGCAATCAATAATTAGTGATCTGGTTAAAGTATTATTTAATGAGTAGAGAAACTGATAAGAGTATTTTTCTATTATTTAGAAGACACAAATAATAAAACGTTTTTTTCACGTAAGTATGTTTGCATTATTTGCATTTAAGAAATAATAAATGAACTTTCAGATATTAATTAATTACTAAAGTTAATTCATTATTACAAAATATATTTTCCTTCTACATATTTTCATGATTTAAAAAATCTTTTTGTTGAGAAATTTCTCCTGATTTCTTTAAAAAAAAAATTTTTTTTTAGCAACGTAGGTTGGCAAGTATGCAGCTGACATATTTGCAGTCACTGACACTGAAATACATTTATAATAAAATGTCAGCATTAATATTAGTCAAAAGTATAACTTTAAACTTAATTTTACATGCATAAAAACATACAAAAGGAATTAAATACTTACAATTCATTTTAACTAAATAATAAGCAAAATCAGAAATTGCTGATTTTTTAATGGTACCTATAAACTTTTAAACAATGCATTGTACCATCATCAATTGTAATGAAATTGTGATGTCATGAAAGACAGCTTTATTATTTTAAAAAGCATTACAAATAAGTTGTGGAATGGAAGTTATTGTTTACAAAATGGCAATGGGGGCAGCATTTACATCTAGCCTATTAAATAACACACAACTGCCAAACAATCACCTCTGTAATACTACAACAGTTGCCAAATCCTAAAAGGTCAAACAAAGCAGTTACACTTAGACAAAACAGTAACAGAAAAAATGCTAATAAAAAATTAGCACAAAACTAACTAGATTTGTTGATTGAATTCGGCAATTTGCGAGCGAGTTGAAGAAACATCTCTGCTCAATTTTATTTCTTTTCCCCCACTCCAAAATTTTAATCCAAGGTTGTGCTTTCCTTTTGACTGATAATTTCTTTTCCCTTTTTTTTATCATCATTAATGTGTAGCTTTTTGTCTTCAAGTGCTTGATAATATGCCCCCTGAGTAGATCTGGCATATCAGAAGTATATTAATATTCATCACACTTCCATTTACTTTTACAGCATCAGAAACAGTCTGCAGTGCTTTTAAAAAATTTTCCAGGTTTTCCACCAACACATCATTATTAACTGCAAAACTATTTTCTACTTTGGCATTTTCATGTGATAAAATTAAAATAGTTTTACAACACACCAAAAATTTTCAAAATCAAAATTATAAATCAAGTTTTTCAAAAAGAATGAAATCACATTGCAGTACAAAAAACAAAAGTGTCTTTCCAAACACCCTTCTGAATAACAATTCTTCTGAATAACAATTCCTTAAATTGCACTTCTGACTTATCTGAAACTCTGAAATTTATCAGTTCACTTTCATATAGCACAGGGTGCTTTATATTGAATGGGACAAAAAGAAAGCATACCTGTGAATGCCATATTATCAAATTTACAGTGAAACTATAGTTATCCAAGTTTCTATAAATGATCTATGCAAGCCCTCTGGTTAAATGGAAAACACTTATGTGGTATTCCAATCCCTGTCACGCTCATGATAGACTGCTTCAACTGCCACAGTCTCAGCTGCTGAAAATCGTGGGGAAATGGAAGCATACACACTTTGTCTGATAGAAAACCCCATGTGAGGGTGCTATGCCTTGCTGCAGAATAAAGTCGGGAACAACTTCCTCCAAATCAAGCTTCCTCCCATGAAGATTATGAAAATTTTTGTTCACAACTCCTTATTTATCTGCTAAATAGTTCTAACCTCATGTCTTGATTTCCATTTGTGTCAATAACAGAAATATTCTATGTGCTAAAAGTGAAGCTCATCAAATGAAAAGATCAACATATTGTCTAAAATAACTAACAGCAAATTTATACAAGCATGAGACCATGAAACAAATACCAGAAACCACACTAGCAAGAGCAGTTTGGCTGAGGGGTAAGATGGGTCAGTTTAATTGAAGGGGTGTAGATGAAAAACACAGGTTTATTTCCCTCTCGGAGGTTAAAGGGGTGTGGGTGAAGAGTGTGGGTATTTTTTTTCTCTCGGAGGTTAGGGGTCATTTAGTGTTTTTTCTTACAATCATTGAGCATTGCTATTACTGACCTTTTACTTTCAAATCTTCATTTTTACTGCGAATTCTAGTGTTCCACGAAGCTCTAGAAATAAGCTTTTCCGCAGCAATTTTAAGTAATTAGTGTATGACATGATTAAAGTTTGTGTTAAAAAGAATTACAATTAAGAAGACTAACCATCCCAGTTACACAGCTGACACGTTAGAGTGAGAAAGATGACTGACATTTCTAAGGCCGGCATAAACAGAATTCATAAAGAACCTGAAAGTAAAGAAAATGTTGAATTCCCTTCCCCTAAAAAAAGAAAAAGAGAAAAATTGTTGTGAGTTACGGGCTTAGATAATTTTGATTTGGATATTTTAAGACAAGCAGTTCAAGACTTTTATATCAGGGAAAAGAAGGTACCAAAAATAGCCGAACTGCTTCCTGTATCAAAAGACACAATCAGTTTTCCTTGGCAAAAAGAAATGCGAAGAAAGATTCTTCGAGAAATTGGTTTCATCTGGAAAAAGACCCGGAATAAAAGAAGCATTTTACTAGAAAGACCTAACATTGTTTTGTCAAGAACAATGTATCTGAGGAATATTAAACATTACAGAGAAAAATCCCATCCCCTAATTTATGGAAGTTATTTATTAATTTTTGATCGTATTAATTTTCTTGTGTCAGCACTAAAAACAAATGTAGATGTAAAGAAGGATATTGGGGGGGAAGCAAAAATTTACAGGGTAATCTACTTCAAGGAAGTTGGGTGTTCAAACAGAAAACACCTGGATGTGCACACCAGCAAATAGCAGCAATTGAGTTTGTACAAACGGATAAGACAAAAACCACATCATTGCAGATTAAATTGAAGAGCGATTGGTTTTCAACTATATGGTTGTATAAATTTAAATTATGTCATAGAGCATCATATTGTATCATAAACAGAACATCCCATGATTTCTCAGTCGAATTATTTGAAGATTCAGGAATTTATACAGTGACGTTATAAGGTATTTACTCCCACCTTCTTATAGTGTGCCTTCATGGTTCGGTGCGTATTCGAGAGGTCCGTGGTTCAATTCTCAGCGAGGGCATTGTTCATTTCTCATTTCCCCTGCTTCCAAATAAAATACCTAATGTCTCTACAGTGGTGCCTGAACTAAAAGGTGGAGAATGATGATTCTTCATCGCCAGGATTTGGTGACTGGGTCTCCTAATTGGGAGTCACCCTTTAAAAGGGGGGTATGTAAGGTATTTTTCCCGCCTTCTTTGCATGCTTTCGTGGTGTAGTGGTCTGCAAGCTCAGTGCATATTCGAGAGGTCTGTATTTCGAATCCCGGTGAGGGCATTGCTAATTTTCAAATGCCCTGCTTCCAAAAAATCCTAATTTCTCTAAAATGTGTATGGATATCATCTAAGATCTCTTGATGAAACCAATCTTTTCTTTCAGCTCATGTCTTCCAAACGCTTAGCTTCTAAAGACTGATAAAGGCTCTGACCACACACTTATGAAATGGATTGAATTGGATTATTAAAGCAGGGGCTATCTGCC